AGGGGGGGGGGGGGGGGGGGGGGGGGGGGGGGGGCAGGGCAGAAGAAGGAGAGGCAGAGAGACGCGAATGCGAGCAAGGGAAGGGGGAAAAAGAGAGGAGGATTCGACCCCAACGTAAGGTAGGTAGGTCTGGTATGTGTGGAGAGACGCTTGGAAGCTCCAGGGCAGTGTGTGATGGATGGCTCCTCCCAATCTCAATCTCGGGCCCCAAAAATTAAAAATTGGAGCATCAGGAGCGGGCTCATAACCTGATGAATACCTAGAAAGGCATCTTACTTGTATATACATTAAGGGGAAAAGTTGGTTCCTCCAGAGGAACTCTGCTCCCTTACGGAGTACATCTCATCTAGTTACCTATCGAACAAAGAGAGTGTATCTAGGTCGCCGACCTTTGTCCCTGGATCTAGGATCCGGAAGTATAAAGAGTGTAATTCTAACCAACAGCGTCCACACCAACACCAACACCACCACCCACTGCACTGTGACAGCGTGATTTGAGTGAGCGACAAGAGCGACCACAGCGATCACCACCCACTGGCACACACCACCTGCAAGACGCCACCCACCACACCCACCACACCCACCAGTTGCCGAAGCGTGGGAGCGCTAGGCCCGCGGGCGGTAGCCGTTGTGGAGTAGCACCAAGTGCAAATGGATGCTGCTAACGTTAACTAGCTTCAGGTACAAACGCCAACATTGAAGGAGATGCAGTAGGGCCGCTCCGTCACAGTGGAAACCACAAGTGCGAAGGAGGTAACCCTCGACTCTCTCTCTCTCTCTCTCGTGCACCGCAGCCTTCGCCCACCCGAGGACACTCAACCGATGATTACTTTGCAGTTGATGACCATCAAATGGTTTAAGTCGCATCTGTTAAAACTGCAGCTCAGCGTGGACGAGCGATTCAACAGACGCCACATCTTGCTCTCCACCATCATCATCAACGGCAGCAGCAGCACTCGGGCTCCCCCACATTGCATTTTACATGATGCACAATCTCAGTGGTCGCAGGTCCAAGCTCACGGGCCTGCCTCGCCCCTATCACAATTGCTTCGGCACCAAAAGGGTGTGGTCGGACCCTGGTCGAGAGGGCCAGACACCGGTCCAGGAGGGTTGCACCGCACGCTGCCAGCCAGGGCTGCGACACGGCGGTCTTGTCCCCAACGGGCAAGCGAAGGGAAGAGGGCTCGCCAATCACTCGCCTGCATCTGCGAATTTCGCGCGTGAGGCGTCCCAGCGTGGTGGGAACCGAGATCCAGTCACTGCGTCAATCACCAAAAAGCCCAGCAGGGATTTTAATGGGCGCCCCCACTGTATATCGATGGAAGAGGGAAGAGTCGCGGTCCCGGTGCCCAGCCACTGCGTTTAATACAGGTCACCAGGATTTGGTTTTTTTTTCTTCCCTTCAGGGGAGGGAATTAGGTCGGGATGTGAAGGAACCTTTCAGCTAGCCAGCCAGCCAGCGTCTCTTCCCGTGTGCTCAGGGCTCTTGTTCCGCTCCGAACGTGACACCGCACGTCTTCTGGTCTCGCTGATTTGACCCGATGGAGACAAGGAACATTGTGTCCTTCATTCGCTGCTTTTCTACAGTACTTGCCGACGAAGAGAACGGTTTTCGAGGTCGGGTAGGGTACGGCCCGTCCAGTCTTTTTAGAACATTCAAGCTGGATACTTCCGAGCCGCCCACACCAGATGTCTGGCCGGTACCTACTCCGTACATTGGTACACATCACGCCGTCGAAGCCGTCCTTGACCCGTCGCAGCTAGTCCCAGGCCCTGGTCCCACGCTCACCTCGATGAGGTTCCTGAAACCGAACCGAAAGAGCCGTCGACCAGCCCCCCAATAACTACCCTTTGCCCACTGTTTCTTGTTTTAGCCTTGCCCTGCGAGCCCTGCTCTAACTCGTTTGACCACTGAGCCCGCCGCAGCGGTCCCTGGGAATTAGCATTCGATTCGCTGCTCAATCCTTGTAGTCCTTGTAGACGAGTTTGGTATTCTTTCCGCATTTGCAAGTAGGGCCAGGAGGTCGCCGGTCAAAGGGACCCGATATTCTGGAGAAGCTTCCTAGCGCAGACTTCGAAGATGCCAAACGTAAAAAGTGCGCCCCGATACGAATGCAAGGGATAGCATGGTATGACAAAACAATAGGAAAGATCTTTGCTTATTCGACCCTCTCGGCGGCACGAAAACGGCCTAACGGCCAAGTCAAAGAGCGGGGCGGGGCGCCTTCAGGTGCGCCAGATTGTCTCACGCCTTCACTTGCCTCGGTGTGGTACCGGCAAGAAGAGAAGGTCTCTCTCCAGCTCTCTCTCTTCGATCGGCATGGGCGGGTTGCAGTTGGGCATCAACTTCCCCAGATCTCCATTTCTAGTTTTTATGGCAGGCAAGCATTTCTGTCTTTGTCATTCTACCAGTTCGCAAATGCAAATGAGAAAATCGACCATGTTTGAAAAATGCAAGATAATTAGCCAAGCCGACTGGCTGACTCCCTGTGCATGTCACAACAGGTGCTCTCGAGATCGTGTCCTCCCAACTCCGTACCACACAATCACCCAAGATCAATCAACCTATCCAACTCATCTGTGACCGCCATTCGTGAGACCTCCACACGTGTATCTCTCCTCTGCATACCCCCTCTCCGGCCGTACCGCCGCCGAGACATCCCATGTCATCCCAGCTTCCGTCAGTCCAGTCACGGCCCTGTCCCGCCTCTAATGCAAGACAACATCGTCAAACGGACACCCTTTATCCGCAGACATCTCTCTCGTCTTGTCCCTCACCACCCTCCGCGTCAGCTCCATCAGCCCGTCTGCCAGCTCCGTCCTCTCCTCCACGATGGCCGGCGGGCAGATGTCCTGCCCGGCCTCCTCCGTCAGCCGTGGCCGCGTAGACCGCCGGCGCCGCACCCTCAAACTGGTCCTTCTTTCACGGCTCCAGGCTGTTGGAATGCCCATAGAGTGTTTCAGTGATCGAGAGAGTCTCATTCATGGAGGCTATTAGCCTATCAACCTAATTCCGCAAACCCCTTTTCTTTTTCTGAATCTATCATACATGTAGCACATTGTGTAGAACCCGTCACCCAAATTCTCCCACCCTGACGCAGACTTGCCCGTGGAAACACATGTAAGGCTTGGAAATGCTGTAGCAGCAAGCTCAAAGACCGAGACATGGGCGCTTCCCAAACACAGTCCAGGGGTGCCGGGTGGACACGGCGTGGCTAACCACGGTCGCGGCACTCGTCCTGCTCCTCCTCCGAGGCCCGGTCTCCATCCTCACGTCCCCTCTGCCGTCCCTGCGCCTGCCGGGCCTGCTCTCCCATCTCATACCCCGCCTGCTCGTATCCCTCCTCGTAACCCGTGTTCAGACCCTCGTTGTAAGCTTCGTCCCGGACCTTGTCGAGTATGGCCTCCAAGACGGTGTATCCGCCCATGCCCGGGATGGGCTCCTTGAGGCTGAAGAGCATGTTGGGATCCATCGGCCGAACAGCAGGGCCCTATCCTGCTGCTGCGACGGCCGCCGGCTGCTGCTGGTAAGTCGTGGGAGTCGCTTGCTGCTGACGCGCCCGAGGCATGGTCGGCGCGGGGCTGCGGGACATGCTCTGGGGACGGTAGCGCCGGTGAAAGCCCGAGAAGGGCGGGGGCTGTTGCCGCATACGAGGTCCCGGCTTGGCAAAGTTTCGAGGAGGTTCGCCCCGGGGAGCGCGCTGGGAGTGCATAGGCTGCTGAACGCTCTCCACTTGTGACTCCTGAGACGATGACTGTTGCGAGAAACACGGCGAGGAGGCCCGCTCCGAAGGGGTCTTCTGCGACGGGGTCGGCTCCGAGGGAGTATTTTGCGAGGGGAACTGCTCCGAGGCGGCCTGCTTCGAGGGTGTCTCCGAGGGGGTCTTTTGCGAGGGGGCCTGCTCCGAAGGAGTCTGCTGTGTGTGGAAATCTTCTTGAGGCGGGGTCAAGGTCGGGGACGTCATTAGCAACGAGCTCGGCACAGAGAAGTCCTCGGACCTGAAAGGCAGCGGGTCTGACAGAGCACCAGGGCGGTCGTGCCTCGGCACTTTGAAGGCCTTCCAGGAGGGTGGTGGCGACTGTTCCTGCTGCTCCCGGGCGATCGAGAGTTGCTGTTGCGGTGACTCCTCAGAATGGTCGTAATCCGTGACGCCAGCATCGGTAATGGACTCAGTGTGGGAAGCAGTGGTGGCTGGGATAGCCACTGAGTTAGGATCGGACGGCGATACTTCGCGAACACGAACAGGAGGCAGCTCCGACGGTGGCAGCTGGACGTTCTGCGGAGTGGTCTGGATTGGAGGATCGGAGACGATAGGAGTACCAGTAGTTTCATGCTCCTTTACTTTGTCGATAGCCTTCTCGTCTGCAGGTGTTGCAGAGAAAGATCCCTGGACCACCGATGTGCCATTGACGACTAGAGGCGCAAGTTTCAGTTGGACTTCGGCCACAGAACGAGGAACTTGCTGCTGAATATGCTCAACGGGCGCTGCGTCAGAGGCAACTTCATCCTGCTCCAAGATGATATAAAGGCCAGGACCAACTCTGCCCTTTCCCTTGTCGACCGGTTTCTTATCTGCAGTCACTGCAGAGTGAGTTACTTGGGCGACATGTGTACCGAGGATACTTGGAGTGGCAGAGTCCTCCACAGACTTACCCTGGACTTCAGTGACAGAACCAGGGACTTGCTGCTGGATTTTCTCAACGGGTGCTGCATTAGAGGCAACTTCATCCTGCTCCAAGACGGTATAAAGGCCAGGACCAACTCTGCCCTTTCCCTTGTCGACAGGTTTCCTATCTGCAGTAACTGCAGAGGACGTCGCTTGAGCGACATGTGTACCGAGAATACCTGGAGTGGCAGAGTTCTCTGCAGGCTTCTCCTGGACTTGAGTGGCGGAACCAGGGACATGCTGCTTCTCTGCGGCTGTCGTAGTAGAAGCGACTTGTTTCTGCTTCTGCGCGGTAGACTGTGAAGCATTCGCAGCAGCTCCAGGGAGAGACATGACCGTCTTGGGAGCATCGGCCTTCTCCGAAGAAGCAGTCTCAGATCGCTTGCTGGCCTGAGTCGGTGTCTCCGCAGCCTTCTGGCCAGTGGGTGGCTCCTTGCCGGCAGGTCCCTTCTCGACGGGATCAGCAGCATGATGAGTCTGATCATTACACCGAGGAGCGGGCTTTGTAGCTGCTACCGCAAAGCTGAAAGGCTGTGTGGAGCCTGACTTGTCGGTAGAAAACACAGTGGAAGGCGAGGCCTTTCTTGTGTTTTCCGAGTCCTTGGCGCTTGAGGAAGCCAAAGCAGAAGACGTGCTCTCTTCTTTATCCACAGCAGGCTTAGGGGCAGTGGTTCTCTTGAGAGCCGCGGCAGCAGCCTTCTTTCTCAAAGCCCGCTTGGTAGATGCATGTCTGGGAGCTGGCGGCCTTGGATGTGGCTTGCTGGTGCCTTCCTTCTTGTTAGAGCTCTGTGTCTCTGCGCTCCAATTGAACGTCTCCCAATGCTTCTTCTTCTTGGCAGGCTGCTGGGTTGGCTGATCTGGCTGCTTTGACTCAACCGGCCGCTCTGGTTGAACCGACTTGAAGCCAGGGGGCTTCTCGTTCGTGCTCTGGGTTAAGGGAATGCTGTGGTTGGGGTCATCACAGGTCTCCGTCGAATTCTCGGGCATCTCTGGCTCCTTGCTGTCACCCAAGCTTGGCCACCGATGAGAATCAATTTCGAAGCTTTGCTGCACGACGGGAGCGGGCTTGGGCGGCTCAGCTGCGGCAAGAGAGGCCTTAAGAGCCTCAGTTGCGCTTGGAGTCTCCGCGTCGCTCGTCGTGCCAGGGGAGGTGTCGGTACCAGCATTCGATGCAGTTTTGGCCTGTTTCTCAGAAGGCTTGGGAGCTGCTGTTGAGACAGAAGTATCATCCTCTGACGCCGAGGTGGAAACTATAGCGGGTTTTCGCGAAGTCTTGGACGCAGCCTTCCTGCTCTGCTTGTTTGCTCCAGGCTCTGCCTGAGCATTTACACCCTCCTGGTGAGCAATCTTCTTCTTTTCCAACTTGGCTGCCTTCTCCTCTGCCAGCATAGCGGCCTTCTCAGCCTTCTCCTTTGCCAGCATAGCGGCCTGCTCAGCCTTCTCCTTTGCTAGCATAGCGGCCTTCTCAGCCTTCTCCTTTTCCAACGCGGCCTTCTCCTTTGCAGCACGTTTGTTTTCCAGGTCGGCTGCTATGAACGCTTTCATACCCATCTTAGCCATTTCTGCAGGGTTCCGGGGTTTCTCGCGCTGGGGCAGAGTGACAGCAGGGCGGTCCTCCGTTCCGTTCTGAGTCGAGGATGGGGCAAGTTGCGGAGCACCAGAAGCGGCAGTCTCGTTCGGACGCGCCGCAACTGGAGGACCCGTGGAATTGGCCGGAGTCGTTGCTGTGGCCTTGTTGACAGGTGCGGGAGGGGCAGTGGTGATGGCTTTCTTAGCTGGAGTGTTCATAGGACTAGTCTGACCAGCCTGGGGCATTGAGGCATTGCCTTTGATTTGAGAAGACGCGGCTCCTCGTGCACGAAACTTTCCACTTCCGATGCGGATAGTGGGTGGCGATGTTGATTCCTGGGCAGACGACAGGTCCTTAGAAGAAGGCACTTCTGCTGCGGGAGCTAGGCTTTGCGAACCAACGCCCTTCTTCTTCGAGTCTGCGGCACCAGCATTGGCCTTGGTGGTAGTCTTGGCCTTGCCCCTGGCTTTGACTTTCTGCCAGTTATGAACAGACTCGGGAGGCATGGCCCCCATCTCGTCCAGGGATAGCTGCATTGCAGGCCCAGCATTTGTAGTGACGTCTGTCGCCTTTGGCTGAGAAGAAGGAGTGGGCTCTTCCTCGGAACCCGATTTCTGAGGCTCGACTACAGCTTGAGCTGGGGCAGACTTCGAATCGACTGCAGGTTCGGCGACGTTCGGAGGCATGGGGCCAGTAGACGTGATCTCTTTCTCAACCTTGGGCTCTTCAGCTGCCGAGGTTTCCGTCGGAGCTTTGCTATTGGGGAAGCTCTGGCTGGCATCGTTGGGCTTGGCGTTTTTCTCTTCCAGTTCAGCCACTTCCTCATCCCAACTCAGGGAACCCTGAACCGTAGTCTCGCCATCAGTGATGGTTCTCGGTGACGACGGCGGAGGTGAGGCATCGTCGGACTTGATCGCCTCAGATGTCTGTCCATCGACCGGGGTCTTGTCCTCGTCTTGGCTCTGGTCATCCTCCTCCAGCTCTGGACCTTGACGATCCTTGACGGCAGTCTCAATGCTGCCCGCTTCGGTCGAGCCTTCAGCATCATTGTCCACAACGGTAGAAGTCCCAGAATCGTCAGCCTTCACCTCATCCGCAGCGGCTGAACTCGTCGAGGCCTTTTTTGCCTTCTTCCTCTTGGGATTCTTCTTCTTGTGTTTGTTTTTCTTCAGTGCTTCCGGCTTTGCCGGACCATTGCTGTCCTCCCCGGCCTCGGCTGGGCCAGCTTCCTCTGCAGGGTCTTCTCCATCTTGTTCTGCCCGAACGTCTGCCATATCCTCATTTGTTGATCCTTCGGACTTGGACTCTTCGTTCTCATTCCGTGCCTTGAACTCCTCACGAGCCCGCATGGCACCCTCGAGGGTGTCCTTATCCAAGCCCGATCGGCCCCTATTGTTCTCGCCGACAACATATGCTGCTTGCGGGAAGCCATCTCCACTGGGAGAGAACTTGAAGGTCCCCAGATGCGACTGATAGGTGTACAACTTGCCGTTCTTGCCGAATGACTGTTGGCCCCAGTGCATATCAGCCTGCCGCTCCTCGCATTCCTCTGCGAGAAGCCAGATCTGGGCATCCCTCATCGCATTTCGCACAACTATCTGATCTATCTCTTGGAGATAGTTCATCTTGGTCATCCAGATGTCATCATAGAACGAGCCGTTGGGGTCATCCTGAGAGACTCCTGTTTGTTGTTCGTTCATTTCTCGTAGGGCGTTGAAGTTAGAGGAGTTCAATGCGAACATGACATGGCGCGGGCTGGCTAGTTCGTGATTCTTTTGGATGAGGAAGAATCCAGGCGGCACCTCAAAGGCTCGCTTCCGGTAAAAATGAAGATTAAAGACCTTTGTCCTCAAGGAGCTGATGAAGCCACTCGTGCCCGGCGAGGGCACAATTTCTGCCTTCTTGAAGATGTCTAGGAAGATCAAGGATCTGGCAAAGTCTTCTGACTCCAGTACGGGCTTGATCTCGTTACACCTGTCTCCAAGAAGCTCTTCCACAGTCAACTCTGGAGAGCTTGCCGCTCTGCGGAACAGGTTGTAGCCCTGCTGCACAAGCTCGGCTGGCCATCCGTAGAAAACACGCTCGTCCGCCTTTCCGGAGCGGATATGGTCAGGCAGGACATGACTGGCCTTGTATTTATTGGTTGCTGCAAACAAATGAGTATTTTTCTCGACAGAAAAATGTGGTGTGTGCGACCCAGAGAGTGTACTCACAGCCAGTCTTCAGGTACTCTTCCAGATGCAACATAAGGTCTCTGGGGCCGAACAAGTAGAAGGGCCAGTCTGGGAGTTTCTTATCTGAATGCTTCTCCTGTACCTGTTGGTAGACGGACTGAATGTCTTTGAAGCACTCCTTGCCCTGTAGAATGTTAGTAACTGTTTTTCATTTCCAGGGGTTTGAGAAGATTGACCAGATCAAGCATCAGAAAATCCTTCCACCATGTTATGTCTTCCGGCCATCCATCTCCGCGATCGACAAAGCGGCCGCAGAAATAATCAGTGTGTGGTGGCTTCGAGAGGGGTGATGCGGCTGAGAGCGTAGAGGAGCTCGCCTCCGTCAGGTTCTCCTGCCTGCTCATGTCTTCGATCGGCTGGTCCGACTCTTCCTGTGTGGCCTTTGGCTTCAGCCCCGACTGCTTCGGTGTGCCCTCCAACGCCAGAAATGGCAAAGGCGAGCGGCGCCCAAAGCAGGTGCTGGGAAAGCAATCGAACGATGACTCGGTCGAATATTGACACTACTCAAAGCAAGTACTTTGAAAAGAATCAGGACCAAGCACAGCTGATTAAAGAAGCTGAAGAGTAGTCCGCTTTGTGAGTAGTAGACGCAGAGGGAAAAGCTCCTTGGTTGGTGTTGTGTGGAAAGGAAAAAGAAGAGTTGCTCTTGGCTTGGTGAGAGGGGGAAATTGTGATTTGTTGTGGTCAAAGACCATAGATTCAGCCAGAATCTGACAAAAGAGTGATTCAATGAACAGCAACTGCCCTTCAGGTGCCAGTAGCTTCAATGCAGTGGTATTGTTGGGAAGCACTGACCGGGCTCCAGCCTTGGTGCCGCAGATCACCACTGGGACAGGGGTGGCATGGGGGCCACCTCCGGTGAGTTCTAGCCCCAACTATGGCACTAAGAGCCCCAAAAGTGCCAACAATAGTGCCCACTTCTATTGAATGAACGAAGAGAGTCATCCATAACCAAGGAGTTGAGTCCACTCCTAGAAGAGAGCAAGCAACGAGCCTTGAAGACCACGTGAGAAGCCTAGCTGGCCAGCCTCTCTGAGAAAGAGGAGGACGAATGCATGGCAGGGTAAGGAGAGAAGCAACTGTTTTCTCCTTCTTCTTCATAAGACGTCCCGCCGCGTCGATCATGCCAGACGGTCTCGTTACCTTGAACTCCCGAGTGTCAGCCATCCCACATCCGACTTGGGCTTGGAGCAGGTATGCCGACTTCCTGGCTTGGAAGAGAAGCCAAGGAGGAGTACTGAGACCATCTGGGCAGCTTCGCCAAGGCCATTGGGTCTTTTTGTACAACTTCGGGGTTTTCAAGAATCAGAGAGTCAGGCTTGGCTCGAGCGCGGCCATCTCCTTCCATAGTCGAGCCACGAGGCGGAGTTCGGACGATGGTGTGGACAAGAATGGAAAGCCCTGACGGCACCGTGTGGTCAAACAGTCACAACCGAGGGAAGGCACGTTCCCCGTGACACCTGTCATGCCAAGCAGGTGTTTCGTCTCTCGTTGCTAACAATAGAGAACTAGGACTTCGATCCTGTCTTCCTCCGGCGGTGATAAATAGCTACTGCTCAGCGAGCCGACCAAGAGTTCAAGGGTTGTCTACCACGCTACAAGAACTTACCGAAAAGTTCAGAGCCTGGTTAAGTGGTAGGCTCACCAAGGCATTGAACTAAACCGACCAATGTTACCTATGAGAAGGCTTGGTGGCGCGTATCGGAATATTCAGAGACCAGGGCGGGAGACATTGGAGTCAATGATGCAGGGTAAACAGCTTGCTGGGTTAGGAGCAAGCTATGGCATGTGGCTAGCAGGAAGGTCTTCATGAGTCCGGTTTCGAACCCAAGAGCGCTGAGTTATGGATTATTCAAAGAGAGCATTCTCCTCTAAGAAGGCTAGGGTAAGTAACCCAACTCCGCGTGTGACCGTCAGTTGTATCCTACCAACTTCGCAGCGAAAGGACCCTTTAGGCATCTCATCGATTGGATATTTCCTGTCTGCGTGCAGACGGAATCATCCGCACACCTAATTCTCCTCTTCGGTCACGGCCTCACACACTCTCTAGAGAATTGACATTCTTCTTCCCCAGGTCCCGATCCACCACATCATCGAGGACAGCAAGGTTGTTCCTACTAGCTTGAATACGAGCACGCTTGAGCCTCCTCGTGTCGGCCTCAGTCTGCCGAGTGACCCACCATGTCGTGAGCGTCACGATGCAGCAGCTCCCCACAAGCGCCGCCGCCGCCGCAAAGCTTTCTCTGTACCGAGGTGCGTACTTGCCCTGGAAGATCTGGGGCCCGATCGCGCCGCCGATCTGGCCGTAGCTGTTGACGAAGCCGATAGCAAACGCAGAGCCCGTCGCCTTGGACGTCGTCTGCACGCGCCACGGCCACATGAGCGGGAAGAACGCTGAGGTGAAGGCGTTGCCTATGAGGATGGCGATGTACACGGCCGTATTGGAGGGGAAGACGATGAGCACGCCGTAGCAGGCGAGGATGACGGCGAACACACCCAGTGGGAACAAGGGGCGCGGGACGATGGCCTTGTCGGCGAGCCACCCAGTCACGCCGATCACGATGATGGCCAGGATCGAAATTGGGAGGTTCAAGAGCTGACTCCGTGCGATGCTGGCAAATCCGAGGCTGGCGATGACGGTCGGCTGGTAGAAGCGGACACCAGAGGTTCCAACCGTGAAGGTCGCCCAGATACCGGTGAATAACCACAGACGGATATCCTTGAGAGACTCAACGATCTCGCGGAAGTTGAAGTTTGCCTCGGAAGCGCGAGGAGCGTTGGGAGGCAGACGAGCTTGGATGAAAGCCTTCTCCTTGTCCGTGAGCCATTTAGCGGTAGGTGGAACTGCATAGCTTCCGTTAGTTCGATTCTTTTCTTCTCACTAACGTGTTATAACCTTACAGTCTGGAAGAAGAAACTTGATCGCCACCCCGGCAACAACTGTGAGAAGCCCCTGCGCCAGGAAAAGCCATTGCCAGCCCGAGAGACCACGCGCCCCGGATACTGTATCGAACGCGAAGGCAAGAATACCAGAAACGACACCCGAAAGGTTTCCAAGCACGTCTTGCATTCATCAGCTTTGTTATTCGCATTCAAAAGACTTTGGGAGAACTTACAGAAAAGCAACAGCCGCAAACTCATCTCGTCCGGTCGATACCAATACGTCATCTGCAAGATGACGCCGGGAAACATGCCCGCCTCGAACTGTATTGCTCGATTAATTCGGCTTCCGACAAGTGGACACAAATTTATTCAGAGTCTTACAGCTCCAAGAAGGAATCTGGTCGCATAGAGTCCTTGCTTGTTGACAACGGGGACATGGCAAAGCAGAGCAATCCCCCACGAGATCATGATCCGAGACTGCCAGGTGCTGGGCTTAAATCGCTTCAGGAAGAGATTGGATGGCGCTTCCAACACGATATACGGAACCTGTTGGCGGCAGTTACAATCAACATCGAACACAAGAGAACTGAGAGTTGCGTGGACATACATAATAGAGCACGGTTAACAGGTTGTACTCGTCTGACGACATCTTCAGCTGCGTCATGATGTTCCTGGGGGTGCCTTTGTTCATAATTCGAGCATTGGAGATGTTTTCAGAGTCCAGATTCTTGATGAGAAAGATGATGGAGCAAATAGTCATGATTCTTATGTCGATTCTCCTCAGAAGGGCCTTCTCCTCGTCAGCATTGAGCAACGCGCGATCGCGCATGCGGGTCGAATCAAAGCCATCGACATCTCCAACAGACTCGACGACCTCACCACGGCGCGCGAATGTGAGCTCAACATTGCTTCCCACATGCCTGTCTTTGCTATGGGTCTCGCTCGGCGTGCTGTCACCATCGCCCCTAGGTAGGGCCGCAACTGAAGGCCGGGATATCTCTTTGGAGTTGGGCATTGCAATCTATAGCTTTGCGTGGTCGACCGGGGTCACAAAAAAGGACAAGATTCACGATACTTCTAGCCTCAATGATCACAGTCACTGGGTATTAGAGGCTTTATAGATACAGTCTGCGACAAATCTACAGAATGCCCAAGCCCCCGGAATGCCGGAGCCCTTCGATATCACCTCTAGTCTGAGCTCCACCATTTATTCCACAAAGGACCCCCACGGTGGTGATGAGGAAATTTTAAATCAAATCACGCTTCTACAAGACCAGAAGGGACCCATAGCCCATGTGGCGTGGCGTGTGTAGACTGTCGATTTCAGCCAGGGCGATCGTCTGCTCGCTTCGAGTCGCTGGCGAGCCAATGGTCAACCTTTGGCCCATCATGACATACGGAGCTAGAATCACGTAGTCTGAGAACCCTTCAGTGCTATGGGAGCCCCGGTTCATTGTTGTCTCCAAGACTGTTGTTCACCTATCGAGAGATCGCGTTTCCCTCTCGCGACGCAGGTGGCCCATTTGTAATCCATCAGAACGCAATCGCGGGGTACGATGACGAGACACAGGCTCCAACCACTCTAGCCATGGCTATCGATATCCTTGAGAATTGGAGCCTAGAAAGGGTAGGGATAAAATCAAGCGAAATCTAGGAGGACAACTTATCTGAGAGAGATAGAACAGCCACTTACTCGCATATCAGCGTCTTGGGAGAGACTTGACTCTCTCAAACTCGACAGTTGTCTTTTAGCAACCATGGCTACCGCAGTCCAGCAACCCGTGTCTCAACCAGTGGGGAATCGAGCCTCGCTCCAGTACAAACAAGTGCCCGAGACCAAGTATGAGTGTGAGTTCCCTATGGCCATCATCATGGCATCACCTTTTGACTTGGTCAGTAGCTAATGTGGACCCCTCGATAGTGGAATGGGCCGACCTGGTCACTCTGGATCTCTCCAAGTTTGAGCAACCAGGAGGAAAGGAAGCTCTAGCGAAGCAGCTCTTCAACGCTCTCCAAACCATCGGCTTCTTTTATGTCATCAATTTTGGCCTCACCCAAGAGGAGGTCGACCGCCAATTCGCCATCGGCAAGTCCCTCTTCGAGCTGCCCACCGAGGAGAAGATCAAGTACCGCGCGGATCTCGAAAACGGCGGATACAACGGCTACAAACCGCTGGGCCTCCGCGAGGTGGCCCCCGGCATCTTCGACAATACCGAGATCTACAACATCCCCAAGTTTACCCCGCACTTCGAGAGGCCTCACCCGGAGGTGGTCAACGAGAACCGGCCCGAGATCGAGCGCTTCGCTCGCCACATCCACCACAACATCGCTGGCAAGCTCCTCGTCTTGTTCGCCATCATCCTCGAGCTCCCAGAGGACTACTTCATCTCGCGGCACCGCTACGATGACGCGCCCTCGGACTGCCACCTGCGGTACATGAAGTACCACCGCCGCGACGCCGAGACCAACGCCAAGCTGGACAACGTCTGGGTCAAGGGCCACACCGACTTTGGCAGCCTGACGCTGCTCTTCCGCCAGCCCGTCGCGGCCCTGCAAGTCAAGAGCAACGACGGCAGCTGGAAGTGGGTGAGGCCCTACGACGGCAGCATCACGGTCAACGTGGCCGACGCCCTGCAGTTCCTCACCAACGGGTTCCTGAAGAGCAGTGTGCACCGCGTCGTGGCACCTCCCCCGGACCAGTCTAACGTTGACCGTTTAGGTCTGCTCTACTTCCTGCGCCCGGAAGACGACCTGGAGCTGAGGCCGATCGAGAGCAGCGTGCTCACGAAGCTCGGCTACGAGCCTGACGCAGAGACGCAGTCCGCTGCGGGGATCACCGCAGGAGAATGGGTGAAGGCCCGCGTGAGGTCTGGGGTGAACAAGCAGACACAAGCTAGGAGTGAGGTTAAGGAGCAAGAGATTATCAAGGGCGTCAAGGCAAAGTATTATGATTGATGAAGTGTGATGGGAGGCATCAGTGGAAGATTGTAATCAACCCATGGTCTCCGACCTAATCTACTTCGTACCCTTCAAGCGTCATCAGTGACATACTTGTCAAACACATCAGCGTAAAACCTCCGCCCTACATCCCTATGACTCCTGATCTTGGTCCGCAGCTGGCTCTCGCCCCAGGTATCATACTTGCCACGCAGGAAAGCAGAATCGATTGACCGTCCTTCCTCTGACTCTAATGAACCAGTACGGAACTCTGGCTTCTCGAAGTGCCCCCTCAAAGTTCCCACTGCCTCAGCTTTCGTGAGGTCACGCCTGACACCTTGAAAGAAAGGAACGCTGTATCGTTCCATGGAGCCGCCGAGGACGCGGTGTGTTGTTGCCTTGCAAACGCCATTGGTGACGACCTCGAAAGCCTGTCCGATATTGACGACAAATGACCCCGGAATAACGGGCGCGTCTACCCAATTGCCGCTTTTGTTCAGGACCTGCAGGCCCTTGACATGCGGTGGGGATGCCTGAAGGAGGAATGTCCACCACCCCGAAGAGTCCTTGTGAGGACCAACACCCTGGCCGCCGGCTTCTTCTGCGCCCAGTGCAGGATAGTGTACCAGTTTCAGGCGGTGTTGGTCCGAGAGAAAGGGAAGAAAACTATCTTCTGGCAGTGACAGCGCCTTGGCGACCAAGTGCAAGAATCGCTCCCCCAATTTTGTCATCTCTTGGATGTAATTCTCAACGATGGGACGGATGGCTGGGTAGGCTGACGGCCACTAGGGTTAGTTGACTGTCAGCCTAGCTTTCTCTTCACCCGTGATCTGATGAAGCTCCGACGTACTGGATTCGGCCCTCTCAAGCGCTCCCGGATAGGAACGCCCTCAGTCCAGGTGGCCGTCAACTCATTGGCGAACTCGAACTGTTCCCGGCGATCTGCTTCCCCCGCAGTCATCTCGCTGCCATCGGCGCTGTAGCCCAGGAAATGGGGCGAGTTGGTGAGTGCTACCTCGTCCTTTGCGTCGTCTGAAAGGCCGAAAAGTACGGGGAGGGCGTTTACCAGGGCAGAGGTTGCGTCCTGTGGTACGCCATGATTCTCGACGTACAGAAAGCCGACCTTGGTCAAGGCGTGGCGGAGATCAGCTAGAAGGCGTGGTTCCGTCTTGGGGTCGCTGGCTAGGGAGAGATCGATGCGGGGAATTTCGGTGAAACTCTTTGCGGTCGCCATCATTAAAGGCGTTCAAGAACAATTAGTGATTGTTCTCCTCCCTATGATACGGATGGGTAGTGAAGTTTGGTGGACGAAGTGCGATCCCTAGGTAGTATTCCAGACTGGCTAGCCAAGGAGGACCTAGGGCGCCCCTGTTGAACACCCACAACCCAATGGCGCGAGTTCCTATTTCCATCGCGTCAATGCTAAAATCCCAACCGGCGGCATTGCGGTTGCCCCTGCCTGTGTCCTGGCCGATGGATATATATAAAGAGGCAATTGTTGGCATTTTGTGTCTCCAGACACTCATGGACTTACCAACGTGCCTCTCGAGGGCACCGTCTTACGGCTCAGATTCATTATTCGACTACTAGGCTGTCACTGGGGTGAAATGATGCTGAATAGAACACTGGCATTGCTACATTTGTGCCTCTCTTTGGCTCCAAGCTAGCCTCTCCGTCTGCCGATTCATCACTGTGACTTCACTCCATTCAAAATCGCGACCTTGACCTCAGACTTCTTGGCCTCCTGACCCTTCTCACCAGCCTTCTTGGCCAGCAGCTCCTCCAGGGTACTGTGTGTATCAATCAAGTGCGTGTTGCACGTGGGAGTGTGGTAAGGGGTGGTATGGGGCCCATCCGAGACGCGAGTGACGAAGTTCTTGGGTTGGTCGTCGACAACGAGCCGCAGGAGGTCGGGTCGCGAGTAGTGGCCGACGCAGTCCGTCAGGTTCTTGGCGATGTCGATCTTGTCCAGGTCAATGTCGCAGTAGATGATGCCGTCGTAGGACGGGTCTGTCGTCTCGGTGAGCTGCCTGCCGTCCGGGCCGAACACGGCCGAGCGGCCGCAGCCGCTGCTCAGCAAGAAGCTGTCCTTCTTGGCGCCGGCCTGCCCCTCGCTGTTGAGGCGGCTGCCCTCGGCCGAGAGGGGCTGGTTCGTGCAGAGGACGTAGACGGCGCCTTCGAGGGCGTACATGCGGCTGGCGGTGACCTCGTTCGCCTCGGAGAAGACCGAGTACGGCTCGGCGGCGTGGGGGCCCGGGTACTCTCCGTTTGACGGCCAGGCAGCGATATGGACCTGCTCGCCTTGTGCATAGGTGTGATATTTCAGCAGTGGCTGCAGGTGTTCTGTCCAAGAGATAGCGCGGTTAATTAGCATGCGGTACGATGGCTACTAACGAAGGAATCACTCACCCCAGCAGTTCAACATGCCGATCCTCCCGAGTGGCGTCTCCACCACCGTCTTGAGTGAGTCGCCGGTGGCATCGCCAAAGATTGTGCGCTCAACGTGTGTAGGCTTGGTCTTGCGTCGGTGGAGCAGGACGTTGCCGGCCGGGCCGATGAACATCTGGGCGAGGTACAGGCTGTGGCCCGCGCGCTCGCTGAAGCCAAAGACGACGTACATCTTGTTCTCGGCCGCAGCCTGGCGGATCTGCAGGATCTCGTCGCCGTATGCCGAGATGCTGTTGGCCATGTACTTTTGCACCAGGGGCAGGTTCTCGGCGTAGTTGCCAGACCAGAGGAAGTTGGGGTAGCCCGGGATCCAGACTTCGGAAAAGGCAATGAGGGCGGCGCCATTCTCCTTGGCCTCGCGGATGAGCTTGACAGACTTCTCGATGCCTGCCTGTTTGTCGAACCAGCATGGCTCGCTCTGGCAGACGGCAGCCTTCCACTGTCGGATAGACATTCTGTTTGGGCAATTTGGGTGACAATGGAGTATGGGAGAAGATGCAGAGAAATTGACGAGAGGATCAAGTGTCGGTACGGTGCGTGATCATGTAGTCTGAGGGTTGGGATAGTGTCATTCGACGTCCGTCACATCATTTGGGGCTTTATACGCTCGCATGCTCTGGAGCTGCGGAACCTTGGAACCTTATCAAGAGGAGACGCGGGGTCAGGGTAGGCAGTATCCGGCACTACCGTAGGTCTAGGCTCGACCCCCGGTGATCATGGGCAGTCTTATCAGTCACACGAGTATCTTGACAGCGTAATGAGACCCCAGATACAGAAGAAGGTGATATCTTTCTGCCCTGTGTTACTTACCCCGGACCCACCCAGACCCCGAAGTGTTCGAGACCCACCACCGCCAGCCCAGGTACCGTGGTGGCGGGACAAAGCGATTGCCACTCACAGATCTACTCCTGAGCCATTGGAGTCCAAGCCCTTCCTGTGCTTCCAAGCCAGTGAATTCGAAGGCTGAGGAAGATGGTCCACTGGGAGGGCTGGTCATCGCCTGTATTCCTGATAGTGGTCTTCGCTGCGCCCCCTCCTCCATGGTGCCTGTTCAAGGACATCTTCAAATTGGCACAGACGATGAGTCTCGGCACTCTTGACCAACCTTGAAGTAGCGTTGGCACTAGTGGCCATCCGCTTAAGCAGTATCCGGGTGTCCAGCACGATCTTCGCGACCCGCCCGATCATGCGCCTCCTCTGATTCGCTGGCATGCCCGTCACTCCCATGCTGGTCGGACCCCTCCTTTGATAAGTCGCGTCGGTTAAGCACTATCCAGAGCCGTGTCACCAGAATCGGCCTTATCGACCGGCACATTGCTATCATGGGAGATATCTGGGGGGTCTTCTGGAATCTAGGCTTGACGTGGGCCGCGAGTCACCAGATACGACTTCACTCTCTTTGACACACACTGAATGGGCTCAAAACTACCGCTCAAGATATCCCTGAGCACTGATCGTCTCGCAGTTTGTAGACAGTTGTTGGCCAAAGTATATATTTACACGCATCTGCTCACCTCTCAGCTGGGATCACGACATCAGACCACGACATCCGTAACTCTCGCTCTGCAACGCAACAAGCGCACATCCTCTACATCAAATCGTTTCACGAAAGAGACTGTGCAATCATGGGGCTTTTCGGCACGCGTGGCGAGTCTATCTCAGCCTACAACTTGATGGTGAGTCGACATCCAACCCCTTTCGTTCTCAGTGCTGTTTCTAGGACTGACTCTCGTCCCTCCTTGGTTGGGATGTTTAGATTGTTGCGTTTGCAACGCTTGGAAGTATAACCTATGGTTACTGTTCGGCCATCATCGGTTCGACACTCGGGCAGCCTTCATTCCTTACCTACTTTGGTCTAGACACGGCCGTGAATGCTCCCCAGTTGTTCGGCGCCATCAACGGCCTCTTTCAGGGCGGCGGTCTCTTCGGTACCCTCATGGCCGGGGTCACGGGAGACAAGCTTGGACGTTGCAAGGCTATGTTTGTGGCTTGCCTCTTTGCCATCACCGGCGGAGCTCTGCAGGCCGGTTCTGTCCATATTGCCATGTTTCTGGTTGCGAGATTCGTTGCCGGATTGGGCATCGGCGGACTGGTCATGCTGGTGCCCCTCTGGCAGAGCGAAGTTGCGCCCCCTCATTCCCGAGGACTTCTCGTCGGCCTTCACGGAGTGTCTATCCTGATCGGATACGCCTCTTCGGCCTGGGTTGGCTTTGCCTTCTACTTTGTCAACGCGGGCGGCTCTCAGTGGCGGCCCCCTCTCGCAATCCAGTGCATCTTCCCGCTCATTCTGGCCTGCGGACTGTACCTGATTCCCGAGTCGCCCCGCTGGCTGATTGAGAACGACCGCATCGAGCAAGCACAGCTCATTCTCAAGAAGATCCACCAAAAGGCAAACAACGCAGATAGCCAAGAATTCGTCCGCCGAGAATTCAACCAGATCCATAGCCAGCTCGCCTTCGAGAGGACATTGCCGAGCTCATGGAGCTCCATCTTCACTATCCCTCACTACCGCAAGAGGGCCATCATCGGGTTTTCTACGCTGCTTGCCGGTCAGCTCACTGGAACGATGGTGATCAACAACTATGGCCCTGGACTCTACAAGTCGCTAGGTCACAGCGACAGCGCGTCCCTCGCTCTGGCAGCTGGCTGGCTGACTGAAGGCATCGTGGTCAACTTCCTCAATGCCTTGATGCTCGACTACTTTGGGCGCAAGTGGCTGATGACTGTGGGCATGGCTGGCTGCGCAGTTGCCCTTCTGGGCGTCAGCATTCTTATCGCGGTGTATGGCGGGACAACCAACAAGGCAGGCAACAGTGCTGCTATCTTCTTCTTGTACCTGCATCTGACCTTCTATGGTGGTTGTATGGATGCCTCGACCTATGTCTACGGCTCGGAGATCTGGCCTACACACCTTCGGGCCAAGGGGTTCGCGATTTCTTGCGCGGGTCTGTTTATCGGCTCGCTCTGTCTCCTGGAAGCCGCACCGACTGCCTTTCAGACGATTGGCTGGCGGTTTTACTTGATCATGATGTCTTTCAGCATTATATTCTCCGTGCTGTTTGCGCTTTATTGGCCCGAGACCAAAGGCCTTACTCTTGAGGAGATTGCTGCCAAGTTTGGCGATGAATTGGCCATCTCGGAGGGCGAGGGAGAAAAGGCTGACGAGACCACCTCGACCGTGACTAATAGCAAAGACGGAGAGAAAACGCCTATTTGAAAACAAAGAGGCTGAGCACAGTCGTCGGGGTCCGGGCCCTGCGTTCAGATTGTCGACGATGAACGATTTAGGGGACCTTCTAGAGGAGGTTCAATGTTGCCTTGGCGAACTTGGGACGACGTCCGCTTGTCTGGGTGATTTAATTTCATTTTCAATGGACCGAGGTAGCAAAAATGTTAGTAATAAATCTAATCATGTTGAATTTCAAGAACTATTGATGCGCGATGCTTGTCCAAGCCTCTCTGCCATAGCCCAGGCAAGTCCTCGAGATCAATTCCGACACGTATAACTAACTAAACGTGAAGACCCAATGCTCTAGCGCCTCGAGTCAAAGTAGGTAGTCCCCACCCGGACTCAATAGCCGCGTTTGTGCTGATAAGTCATGCCCATGAGCCGCTCCACGCTACATATGTAGTGTCCTGATGAAGCGCGGAGTAGTCCCATTCAGCATGAGCATGATTCGGGGGGGGGGGGGGGGGGGGGGGGCTGCTTTCCCACTCCACTTCTCTTCTGGCCGAGATTGACACTTGCAGCATACCTACTTACCATGTGTAGAGATGAGCGACAGTCGAAAGCGCGTCTCACTTGCATGCGAGGCTTGCCGGGCGCGGAGAACACGGGTGAGCAGCCTCTCCGCTTGTCCCGATGCGAGGCGACAACGCTGACGTATTATCCCAGTGCAACGGCGAGCAGCCGCGGTGTGCGCCATGCCTGGAGAGGGGAATTGAGTGCACTTACAAGCACACGGAGAACAAGCGCAAGTAAGTACCCTCTCACTCTTTTGCTCAGTTGAGCCCCAACGCTGACCCCCGTCAGGCCTCCCAGCAAACGCTATGTCGAGTCCTTGCAGGCTCGGATTGCCTTTCTCGAAGGGAGGCTTTCTGAGTTGGGCAAAGCGTCACAGTCCCTATCACCGGTACCCCAAGGGCTCGGAGAGAATGCCGAAGGCGAGGCTGGATCGGAACTTTCGGAGGAATCTGACCAAGACAGCAAATCGCCAGGAGCCGCGTCAAGGAACCCCATTGGAGAGATAACTCAGCGTGCAGGCCGCCTGAACATTGGCGAAGATGGCCAATTGCGTTACTTTGGGGCCCAGAGTGGTTATAACCTAATCCATGGACCTATCTACGAGCCGGCAGACAATACTCTCAACTCTTCTCAGCAAGCCGGCCTTGCCGCCGCCGCTCGCCTCGGCAAGGTAGCCAAGGTATCTCGCGACACCGAACACCACTTGCTCGAGCTTTACTGGAGGTGGCAGAACCCCTGGGTATACCTCCTCGATAAGGAGTCTTTTATGACGGACTACCAGAACGGCGGTGGGCCTTATTGCACCCCACTCCTACTGTCTGCCATATTCGCCCTGGCATCGCGCTATTCAGATCGCCCCGAGGTCCGTTCTGATCCGTCGGACCCCCACACGGCTGGCAACATGTTTGCGGAGCAAGCAAAGTTGTTGATGATGTACGAGTCCGAAAACGCGACGTTGGCTACAGTGCAGGCAGCTTGCCTGCTGTCGTTGAGATGGATGTCGGAGAATAAAGAATCTTTGGGGTGGCTGTATGCTGGTAAGTGGTGTGTGCGTTGTGATAACAATGCCTGGGCTGACTTCAAGGACTCTGTTCTGCAGGGATGGCAACCAGGATGGCGTACAATCTAGGACTCAACCTCGATTGTGCCAAATGGGTTGCTTCAGGACACCTTAGCAACAAAGAAGCAGAGATCAGGAATATCACGTGGTGGGGTTGCTACAAGCTTGATAAGTAGGTCGCTTACCCTACTCTCACAGGTTCATCATACCTGATGCTCACACACTTTGGCTGATTCTAGGCTCTACTGCCTCGGTCTTGGCCGACCTGGGACGACACGCACATGCGACATAGTAAGTTGCTTGGATTAGATAGCTGTGTCTCTCCACGCGTGTAAGAACAAGGGGTCTAATCTGAAATCACTGCAAAATAGGCTTGCGCGAAACCAAGCCTCCTCCCCGAGGTAGAGTTTGAGCCATGGGTCCCGTTGACACAAAAGGACCGGGTTCTACTCGGTGCACACTCCCGGGCAGTATCTTCGATGATTGCTTCCTGCGACCATCTGACACTGATCTCTGAACCCCTCGAGCTTCTGTGAGTCCGGGATCCTGCCCTTGAACACTTCAAAGCTGACTTGCATTGATGAAGCTATTCTCCAAACAGCCAGTTGTCAAAAGTAGACGCTGAAAATGTCGTCGCTAGTGCCGATGTAGCTTGTAACGCCTTTTATACGAATCTCCCGAGCCACCTTCGCCTCCCTAGCTCTCCGCGCACTCCTTGTCTACCACACATATACCAGCTTCAGTAAGTCGTCTAGCATCAGCTTCCCGGTCTACATCTCTATATGCGGAGCTAAGAACCTCCAGTATTCAGTTTCACGTCATGCAAATCCAGCTGCATCGTCCCTTGATCCGTCGACGGTCGAAGCAGAATCCTAGTGATCAGGACGAAGACACACATCTCAAGGCCTGCCGGCACTCGGCGACAGAGGTGGCCAAGCTCCTTCGTATCTATGACTATCATTATACCTTGGTGTGTGATTTATCTGTATCCCTGCCCATCATTGTTGCTTTGGACTCACTAGAACCTTGCCCCCCTAGCGTTTGGTCCCTGTCGTCACCGTCCTCGGCACGTTCAACGCGGCGGTGGTTCACCTCATGGACGTTGCATCCCCTGAAGAATTCCTGAAGCGCCACGCTTTGCGCCACTTGAGGCTTTGTGTTGTCGCCCTGAGCATCATGGGCCTGGCTTGGGCATGGAGCGAACGGGCCCTCCGTATATTCCGGCTGCTGGCCAACGAATGGCTCATGCCCCATGCTGTCCCCGACGATCTCAAGACAGACGATCAACCCGGGAGCCCTACACAACTCCGAGATAACGGTGGAGACAGCAGGGACGTACGACAGCACAGATTCTGGGATAGTCTCGAGCAGGAGCAGGGACCGGACATCCCGGTGGTGGGTATGGTACCGCAGTACGGGAATTGGACGGCGCCAGCGTCGTGGTTGCTGGACAGTCAGGAACAGCAGCAAGGAGGGCTCGAAGAGCAACAACAACTACCATACTCGGGACAATTCCCTGAAATACCCGCAGAAGAAGCCGCACAGGATGCTCCGGCCAGCTCTGCCTCCTTCGGTGCCATGGATGAGGTCGACTGGCTCTTCAACGTAGACCTGGCACTGAGCAACTCTAACCATTTTGCCCCCGAGTTTGACGGCTCCGGTCAGTTGGACTCGTGGGTTTCGGCTGCTCCCCAGCAGCCATTTACCTTTGAGGGTATAATCGGGGACCCCAGGGCGCCTGTGACCGACCACGACTGGCTGTTTCCCATCGAGGATCAACAATAATCGCACTCGGCTACCGTTACAGCCGGTCATGATTGGAACGGAGGTTCAAAAGCCTGTTTCTATACAGAGATATCGACAACTAGAATAGCACTTGTCTGGAACTGTATTCGCTACTGGCAATCTTGCCCAGCTGGCAGACCTACGAGCCTGGTTTGAGAATTCTTCTTCTACCCCTACATATTAGCCTCCAGTCCTCCGAAAGAATTAATCTTGCTACCGCCAAAACCGCCTTTTCGTTGAAGAGGATGTGAGCAGCGGCGGTGAGTTGATGTGCCAAGACGAGAAGATCTTCTTCACGTAAGGCCTAAGATTGGGGCGCCCTTCAATCTCCAATTTTTCATTATCCGGCGCGCGCGGATGGGAAAGAAAGGGCAATATACGCGTATTCATGACACTATCACTTTGCAGGATCGTGCCAAGCATCCACGGTAAACTGTGATCCCTGCAAAGGAACCTTATTCAAGCTCGGACTCGACTTTTGCGAACTACATCACGTTAGTAGCTACGAAACGATGTAGGCACATGGGGATTTACTAATGTAAGCACTAGCTTTCAGTCTCACGAGTCGGAAACTCTGCCATCCGAACGAAAATATCTGTGTTGTAAAACCTTCCCAGTCACCGTGTCCATTCCATCATGCACTTCAGTTTGTGCTTCTTGGTTCAAATCAATCATGGCGCTTCATGTGGGCATCGCGCCCGTCACACTGGCCTTTGCTGGCCGAGTGGTGCTCTACAGCGCTGTATTCGGCCTGGCCTACTTCTTCTACAACCTGTACCAGGTTCGGATGCTCTTCCGGCGTGCCCGGAAGGAATATGGAGTTGTATGTGAGCCCGGTGCAGATCTGGTCCTCTTCCGCTTCCAAGCGCTAACATGATTCTCAGCATATGCTGCCGCACTCGTTCCTCTTCGGCCACCTCCTGGTCTTCGCCAAGGTCGCCATCAAGCGGAAGCTACCGCGAGATCTCCACGGCGCGTACACACCTCTGTGGCTCGCGTTGGAATATCCCGAGATCGCCGAGACCGGCCTCGTGTACATGGACCCGTGGCCTATCGCGCCGCCCACGCTGGCCGTCTTCGACCCCGATATGATGACGCAGTTCACCGCGGAGAACAGCCAGTTGAAGCATCCGAATGTGAATCGCGAGTTCCTTCCGTTCGCTGGCGGGACCGATCTCGTCACGAGTGATGGACTAATCTGGAAAACGGCCCGACTCATGTTCAACCCGGGCTTCGCGGTCAAGAATTTGATGTCTCTGGTTCCTGGTTTTGTGGAGGAGGCAGTCAGGTTCCGCGAAGTGTTGGGAAAGATGGCCGACAAAGGTGATGTTGTCCCACTCGAGAAGGCGACGACCAATGTAACAGTCGATATCATCGGGCGTGCTGTTCTGTGAGCCCTACCCTCTCCCACCTCGTGGGTTTGAGCATCGGCAAAGCAGAGCTGGCAAGGCTAACATTCACAACAGGGGGGAGCGTCTGGGGGCCCAAGACGGCGGATCTGTGCCCTTGCTGGACGCCATGCTGGAGCAACTCTCGCTGCTCTACTTCAACATCGAGCCGGGCAAGTGGATGAACCCAATGAATCCGTATCGGCACTGGCGCCTGAATCGCAAGTTCCGCCAGGCCGCCCTGCCGCGCGTCGAGAACGCCGTGCGCAACTACGAGAAGCTCGAGGGCCCCAAGACCATCATCCAGCTCGCCGTCAAGGCATTCGTCGAGGAGCACGGCCACTCCACGGTTGCAGCCGGTATCCCGGCCCACTTCGTGGACGGGGTCATCACGCAGCTCAAGATTTTCCTCTTGGCCGGCCACGACACCACAGCCACCACGCTCGCTTACGCCTACTATCTGCTCAGCTGCAACCCCGACAAGCTCGCGCTTCTGCGTGCGGAGGTCGACGAGGTCTTGGGCGCAGATGCCGCGACCAAGATATCCCACGACCCGGCCCTTCTCAACCGCCTGCCGTACGCGCAAGCCACCATCAAGGAAACGCTGCGCTTGTTTCCGCCCTTGTCCTCGGTGCGCCTCGGCGGCCCCGGGTTCGAGCTGCGCGGCGCCGAGGGCCAGCGCTATCCGGCAGAGGGCTTCATGCTGCTCTCCAACTCGGTCGGGTCGCACCGCAGCCCGCGGTGGTGGCGCGACCCGCACGCCTTCGTCCCGGAGCGCTTCCTGCCGGACGCGCCGGCCAGCCTGCGGCCCGTCAAGAACGGCTTCCGGGCGTTCGAGATGGGCCCGCGCAACTGCATCGGGCAGGAGCTGGCGGGCCTGGAGCTGCGGCTGATCCTGGCGCTCACGGTGCGCGAGTTCGACTTTGAGGCCGCGTACCCGGAGGGGGCCGAGACGTTCCTCGGGGAGAGGGCGTACCAGGTGCAGCCGCCGGCGCTGGTGACGGCGCACCCCAAGGGTGGTTTGCCGGTGCGGGTCAGGAGGCGGAGGCCATAGATGCTGCGGGGGTTGGTGCATGTGGATAATGGGTATGGAGAAACGCTTGTATGTCAATACTGAGTTGAAGAAGGGATTATGAACATTTCGCAATGCTGTGGCCTCGTGTTGGCATGTATCCCTTGGAAACCCATCGTTGCACGGGAATTGGCCACAATTCCTCAGGAGGTAGTGGAGTTGTACTCTGGGGTTGGCGGACACAAATGCTAGGTCTTTAGTTTTTTACACTTCATGGCTTCATTCTTCTCTTTCTCTTGCTTTGGTTCTAGGGAAAAAGCACATGGCCTTCTTTGAGTGCTCCTGTCCAACTCGTCTTCCACCTTGGCTAAACTGGATACATATAGGTCTCCAAGCTCTCAGACACTCTCAAAACGGGCCACGGAGTGTATTTCTTGAGATATGCTTCTTGAGATATGCTTTCCAATTGCCCGAACCAGCGACAATGTGTCTGTCTGCCACTCAGAAAACATTGTCAAAGTGAAGCAATAGGACTCCTTTGGATGTCCGTCTTTGCCCTGGAGCAGCCAACGCGTCAACTATCCACAGGACTCGAAAAAAAGAAAAGGCGTGCGTACCGTACCCGGGCAAGCTAGGGATCCTCTCATTACCACAGGTGGAGAGAGACCAGAACCTCCACCCAAACCCGACTATTCTTGCGCGCCCATTCCTAAGACAACGCTAGGCCACTCACTGACCAACCGCGCGCATGCGGAGCACAACTCACGATACCTATCTTGTAGTAGATAATGTTCACATTCTCGCCGTAGATAGCTGGGTTATTGTTTTTTTCCGAAATAGAGCAGATGATGGACTCGGCGATGTCTTCTTATCTCGTGCTGCCCAACCGCGCCGCATGACACCGACTGACTCGCGACTGGTGAGACTTGAACGCTCGTATGCAGTTCTCGGCTTAGTGACTCTAAACCGGGACGCGGACAGTAGGTAGGAGGCTGATCAGGAATACGTGCTTTCAATGTCAGGTATTCGCTCTTCTCGGGACCAATGTTGTTGGTTGTTGCATCGGTCTGCCTGCGCATTTCAATGTTGGGTTTCTCCAGCCGCGTGGCAGCGTCAACATAATGCGTCCTGCCCGTCGGTTCAGGGTCCCGGCCGGCATTCCGGCGACATCGGCCACATGCAACGTAGGCAGGTGTCAAACAAAGCTGTCACCCTTTCGGGGCACGCTATCTCGTCGGAGGAGCTTGAAGCCACTTGGCGCTCGCGCAAACCCCTGATTCGTCGACCTAAGCGATTGGGCCTAAGTCTACTTTAGGTCCCTGGCTTAGGAATCAAGCTTTATGTCTTACTGGGATGGTCCAGCCGTAGTCCAGCCTGCTCACAAGGCTAAACGAACTGGTATCAATATCAGCCGCCGCCACATAGTTGTTGAAGAATGGCTCAACTCATTCATCATTGAGCTCGAAAACAGCGCGTTTCGTCCAGTTGATGGCCCTGATTCAAGGACCCCGTGTTCTGCTTCGGTCAGAGCCCGAGCGAGCCTTGCGGGATATAAAAGTCACCAGCTGTGCCTCATGGCTCTATTGTCCAGAGATGCCCTCGACCGCACCCAAATCCATTTCTCGACCCTTCGTCAGTCTTTACTAACCCTTTGGCCTATTCGCCGTTCATTCGTTCCAGCAGCCTTATCACGATGCGCTCCGCCGGAGCCTGGCTGAGCCTTCTGGCTTCTGGCCATACGGTCTTGGCCACCCTCTGCCCATTTCCTAATCAAATATACGACCCCGTAATCGGTTGTATCTGCGCGCCTCCATTTGTCGGCCCCCCTGGCTTGCCCTGCTCCCTTTGTCCCGGAGGCACAGACTACTTCAACGGCCTATGTGTACCCTCCTGTGGAACCAACGAGATGCATGATCCCAATAGCGGAGTTGGAGCTTGCATCTGTATCACCAACTACGCGCTCTACAACGGCACCTGCGTTAGTCCTTGTCCGCCTGGGACGGAAGACGTCAGCGGTACTTGCATGGCTGTTTGCCTGACAAACGAGATTCGTAACCCCATCAATTTCCTGTGCGACTGCCCTCCTCCCTATACCAACAACGGAACAACCTGCGACTGCCCCACGGGCCAGGAGCTTTTCAACGCCACCTGCACGAATGTCTGCCCGACCAACACCGTCCGTCAGCCGAGCGGTGGCTGCTCTTGCAATTCACCCTTCCTTGTTGACCAGGGCAACTGCGTGGCCGCATGCGGCGGTGCACGCGTGCCCGTGAACACCGTCTGCCTGGACCCCTGCGGTGCCAACATGATGCGTGCCACGAACAACATCACCTGTGTGTGCCAGCCCACCTTCGTCCCCGACATCGTGCCAGGGACATGCGTCTGCCCCTCGGGCCAGCAGCAGTTCAACGGCACCTGCCTGCCCGCGTGCGGCCCCAACGAGATGCGCAACAGCACCAGCGGCAGCTGCGAGTGCCCCGGCACCTTCTTCGTCGTCCTCGGCACCAACGACTGCGTCCAGACGTGCCCTGCCGGCACCGACGCCGTCCAGACCTTCTGCGTGCCCCCGTGTGCACCCCTGCAGATCCGCGACAGCAATGGCATCTGCCAGTGCGGTCCCGACAGCGAGGACGACGGCAACGGCGGCTGCAAGTGTGTTACTGGTTTCCAGCTTAGCTCGTCAACGACCTGCGTTGCGGTTCCAACTACAACACCGGCGTCTAACTCCACTTCTTCAACTGCCTCGCCTAGCTCATCAACAAGTTCAGTGTCAACCAGCTCGGGCTCCACGACCAGCTTGTTGCCCACCGTCGTGACGCCCAGCTCCACCAGCTCCAGCAGCACGAGCAGCTCCTCCTCCTCCCCGTCTTCGACCTCCACCAGCGGTCCCATGCCCCCGCAGGTCGGCGACTTCAGCGTCGTGGGCTGCACCGGCTCGGACCAGAGCTTCCCGTCCTTCCGCCTGCAGACCAGCAGCGTCAACATGACTCTGGAGATGTGCACCGCCGCATGCTCGAACTTCCTGTACGCCGGCGTCCACATCGGCAACTGCTACTGCGCCAACACCTTTGACAACGTCGTCACCGTCCAGCGCGGCCTGTGCAATATCCCCTGCCCCGGCAACCCCGACGAGTCCTGCGGCGGCTCCCGCCAGGCGGCCTCGCGCCTCGCGCGCCGCCAGACCGGGCTCGTCCCCGCCGACGCCCTGCTGGCCGTCTACATCAACGACCCCATCGCCTCGACCGCCACACTACCCGTCCCCGCCACCACTTCCTCCTCCTCCTCCACTCTCCCTCCGGCTGCATCCACTACAGCCGCGGCGGCCCAGACCACCGGCGTGACGACATCCACGGCCACCGCCGTCGCCACCGCCACGAGCACGGCCTACCCCTGCGCCGGCGGCTACTGCAACCAGGCCGGCTGGTTCTTCGAGCTGTGCCAGGGATTCCCCAACCCGGGCGAGGTCGTCTTCGTCATGGAGGCGTGCACCTGCGCCGGTGGCTGGCAGTTTGTCGTCGCGGGGTGCGACGGCGCCTCGTGCGGCTCGCTGGCTGTGTACCGCGCTGTGCCGTGCCAAGCTGGCGTTGTTTACACCAACGTCACTGTGTACCAGCCCCAGGCTTGCGCCACTTGCGCTGGCGGTGTCACTTTTGTGCAGGGTTCTGGGAGCTCGAGCTCCGGCTCCGGCTCTGGATCCGGCTCTGCGTCGTCGACCACGTCTGTTGTTGTTGTTGCTGCTGGCGCCAACAGGATCGCAAGCTTCGTTAGCACCCTCATGGTTGCTGTCGGTGCTTTCGCGCTCCTCATCTAGAGGGCGATTCATGGAAATCAATTTTGAATAGACGTTTGAGGGTCAAGCAAGCATCTTAATGGAGTTGGGAGAGTCTCAAAATCTGTCAATATGCATTGTCTACAAGTATCTAATGATCACGATGAACTCCGAGCAGCCTTGTGCAAATCGCTCAGGAGTATTTTATGCTACTTCCTCAAGCAAGGTCATTACAAATTACGCGCGTTCAAAGTAGTTTATACAGTGTATTTTCACACCAATACATGTCTTGTTCAAGTCGACGCGCCAAGACGTTGTTGATTCTCATCCTCCTGACAGTGCATGCCAAGACTTTGTACATGAGCAGGTTGAGATCCGAACACACTAGGTTCCAGGGCTCGATTGAGCAACTATTGCAGCTATAGCACAGCTGTTTCTACGTCCTTGGAAGCCCTCGCTAATGTTCAAGAGGAAGAGATACTTGCACCCTGCTTGTGAATCTCGCTCTGCTTGGTTGCGCAGAGCCAATTATGTGCTGGGTTCCGCGACCTCTGCTCCATGATTGGAATCTCTCGGGGACAGGCAATTCTCATAGAGGCTTTATGCAGTGGCGGGATCTGATCCCTCGAGTGATCCTCAAAAGTCTCCTAGGAACGACTCGAGATCATGGGGTCTGGTTAGGCAAGTTTCCGTGCTCTGAACATCTTTCTGTCCGAAACCGCGTTCTAAACGATCTGTTTACGAGCGAGAAAGCTGTCCCAGAAGATTATCGATCGACTTCCTAGCTCGTGCAGCCATCACTTCAGGGCCGTTCTGCTCATCCTTGGTCTCTGCCAGAAACCCCTCCAGGGACATCCAGCCCTGCCAACCGTACTCGACGAGCCACGCGTGCGCGATCTCCACCATGGGGAAATACCCGGGCTCCTCGAGAGGAAAAGGCCTCCGCGTCCTGGACCAGAGGAGGCGAGGGTCCGGAACTTCCAACCCCGGCACATAGAGCGCAGGATCGTCCCTCGCGAGCGGTGGGTCGAACCTGGACGCATCCGACAGCTGCATGTATAAGACGCTCTCCTTCGGACACGCCCTCACAAACTCGGCCATGGACTCACGCAGAACCTCCCCGCCTCCGGCTCTCCGGCCGTCCGACGCGCACGCATCACCCCACAGACGCGCATGGACGTGGAACGAGTCCATGCACAGCTTGAAGTTGGGCCGGCCTACGGCGCGCTGGATGCGCAGCCCGTCCTGCCAGAGGGCGTTGTGCGCCGCGAACGCGACAGCCTCGTACGCGACGTCGAGCCCGTAACCCGCCGCCAGGTCGGCCAGGGCCCGCAGCTCGCGCACGACCGTGTCCTCGTCGCCCGCGGAGGCCGGCAGGAACTGCGAGGGCACCTGGACGCAGCCCGCGCCCGCGGCGGCGGCGACCTCTGCCCACTCGCGCGCCAGGGCGAGCCGGTCGGCCAGCGGGGCGGCGCGGTTGCCCTCGAAGTTCTTGAGGGCGGCGAGGGAGATGACGGAGAGGGACAGGGCGGAGGCGAGGGCGCGGACCTGCGCGGCCGAGGCCAGCAGGGGCTGGGCGTGGGCGGCGGCGTGCTGCGCGAGGTCCGAGTAGGTGAGCTCGACGCCCTGGAAGCCGTGGTCCCGGGCGGCGCGCAGCTTGCGCTCGAGCGTGTGCGACGGGTGCTGGCCCAGGGATATCGTGGCGACTGCCCACTTGTTGGCCAGAGCTGGAGGCATGGTGACTGGGGATTATGCGGCCGGGGAGAGAACTGGAGGATCACCCCATACCGACACGGTGTCTGACGGGGGAGAGTCTGACACCCCTGAGATACCTACCGCTGCCTACCTAGGTACAAGTAGAACCAGACTCTAAAGGTTGAGTTGCTCAGCCGGATTTGCACCGGTTGTCCTCCGACTTGTTATTCCCGGTCTGGTAACTAGGTGGATCTGTGTTTTTCCCACAGCTACTTGTCTCGGCGGTGACCCAAAAACTTGACCAAGAAATCCTTCCCCGGCCCCTTTCTCCGCATTTGTGGATTTAGTGAATACAAATGCTCCTCCGTAATTTCAATGGATTTGGCCGACGCTGCAAACCGGAGTCGGCTTACTTCATAATTATCTCCACTCTAAGTCGCTGATGATATTTTCCATAGTGGACACAAGAAGTAAAATAGAAGAAAAACACTATCGCTTCGTTCGGGGCAAGGTATCCGGCTAAAAACTCACGCAGCCCCCGTCAATCTTGAGGAACCCGCCGGTCATGAACCGGGAATCGTCACTCGCCAGGAACGCCACCACGCCCGACACGTCAGACACCTGGGCGAAGCGCCCGAGGGGCATGGCCTTCCTGAGCTCCTCGAGCTTCTCCGCAGACCACGAGGCCCGGAACATGGGCGAGTCGACGCCGCTGGGGTGGATCGTGTTGACGCGGATGCCGTGCGGGCCGAGCTCCGAGGCCGCCGTCAGCGCCAGGCCGCGCAGGGCGAACTTGGAGCCCGAGTAGAGGATGAGGCCCGGCGTGCCTCGCAGGCCGGCGATGGAGGACGTGAGGATGATGCTGCCGCCGTTGCCAAGGTCGCGCATGGCCTTGGCGGAATGCTTGATTCCGAGGAAAGCTTTGCGGGTGGCGCATTTTAGTGCCCGGCCATTCTTTTCCTGCTACGAAGAAGGAAAAGCTTGTGCAGAACCTACCTGATTTGACGTTGACATTCATAATCCTGTCATAACTCTCCGCAGTGGTGTCGAAAATGCTGGTCGACGAGTAGCTGATGCCGGCGTTGAGAAAGGCGGTGTCGAGCCTGCCGAAGTGGCTGACGGTCCTCTCCGTGTACGCTGCCACTTCAGGCTCCGACGTCACATCGGCCTGGATGGTAAGAATGCAGTCTTTAGCACTCCGGCCGGCCGGGTCGTTGGCAAGGATGGTTTCTTGCAGGTGTGCGGCAGCTCTGTCGAGAGCCTCGCGGCTGATGTCGATAAGGCTGACCCGAGCACCTTCTTGAAGCAGACGGCCGGCGGTCTCTAGCCCGATTGCACCCCCGCCGCCGGTAATCAGGGCGACCCTGCCGATTAATCGATTCGCCGGGGCCAAAGCCAGGGCTGATGCCGGTAGCTGGGCTGTTGACTGGTCCGTCATGATGCTTGCGTGGACTGTGAAATGTGCCCCAAGATGGTTTACTGTGTAAATCAAGTGGCAATATCGTATCGTATAAGCAAAGCATCCAAGTCCCTGGAATGCCAGTCAAGTCAAGAGAAATTGCCGAAACAAGTACTCTGCCTCTGCATCGGCATTTACACAAGCGTCCCCGAGCTCCCCACCCTCTAGCTACCCTGATGCATCCAAGTGCTGACCCCCAGTCCGCTACGGCGCCACGGCAGGAAGAGTCTTTATCCCCTAGGGTCTGCCCCGACTACCAAGCCCTGCTAGCGAGAACATGGATGGGGATTGGTTGCAGTTTGGGGGTTTGGGGATCTGGGGTAGGAAGAATTGCAGCTCGGTCTCCCCGTGGCGTACATATTATCCTCCACACCCCGGATGTTCTTCTGCTCAACCTTCTTTCGACGTTTGCCATTCCATCCTCCGACCTGACCGTCCTTAGCCTCCACGACTAGGTCACCGAAGATGAAGAACCCTTTTGCATTGAAGGAGGACCCGGGGTCCAACATCCCCAAGGAAGTCTATGGCTACAGGCCCTATGTCCTAGCCTTCTCCGCTGCTTGGGTATGTTACAACCACGACCCCTCTCGCAGGTCTATTCCGCACACCAAAACTAACACGTCCAGGCGTCGGCCATGTACGGCTACGACTCGGCCTTCATCGGCGGCACCCTGAGCCTGCCGTCCTTCCGCAAGGCCTACGGCCTGGACAACAACACGGCCGGCCTGTCCTCCAACATCGTGTCCACCTTCCAGGCCGGCGCCTTCTTCGGCTGCATCGCCGGCTTCTTCGTCGCCGAGCGCTTCGGCCGCAAGCCGACCATCATGGTCTCGGGCGTCGTCTTCATCATCGGCGTCATCCTCCAGATGATCGGCAGGCTGGGCCTGCTCTACGCGGGGCGCGCCCTGACGGGGCTGGGGATCGGCGCCTCGTCGCTCATGCTGCCCATCTACATCTCCGAGTGCTCGCCGGCGCTGATCCGCGGCCGCCTGGTGGGGATCTTCGAGATCATGCTGCAGGTCGCCCTCGTCTTCGGGTTCTGGGTCAACTACGGCGTGGACCGGGACATGGACCCCGCGAGGGACATCCAGTGGCACATCCCCGTCGCCGTGCAGTTCATCCCCGCGGGCCTGCTCCTGATCAGCATGCCCTTCCTCATCGAGTCGCCGCGCTGGCTCGTCGCCAAGAACCGCGGCGAGCAGGCGCGCAGGGCGCTCAGCTGGGTCCGCAACCTGCCCGAGGACCACGCCTACATCAGCACCGAGCTCGGCGAGATCCAGGCCAGCGTGACGTACGAGCTCGAGCTGAGCGGCGGCAAGGACACGAACCTGCAGATCCTGCGCGAGCTCGGCGCCAAGGGCATCCGCAACCGCGTCATCATCAGCGTCCTGCTGATGCTGCTCCAGAACCTCACTGGCATTAACGCGATCAACTACTACTCCCGTAAGTCCCACGGCACAGTCCCATCCGTCCCTCTAACCTAACCCTGCGCACAGCAACGATCCTCAAGGCCATCGGCTTCACCGGCACGAGCGTCGGCCTCCTCGCCACGGGCATCTACGGCCTCGTCAAGATGTTCACGACCGTCATCTTCATGGTCTTCTTCGTCGACCGCTTCGGCCGGCGGTCCGCGCTGCTCGTCGGCGCCGTCGGCGCCATGGTCGCCATGTTCTACCTGGCGGGCTACTCCAAGCTCAGCGGCTCCTTCGAGGGGCGCGCCAAGCAGGACGCCGGCAGCAACGCCGCGTTGGCCATGATCTACCTCTACGCCATCTTCTACGGCTTCTCGTGGAACGGCATCCCCTGGATCTTCGCGTCCGAGGTGCTGCCCAACCGCATCCGCACGCTCGGCATGATGTTCTCGGTCTGCATGCAGTGGCTCGCCCAGTTCATCGTCGTCTACTCGCTGCCCTACATGATCAAGGCCATCACCTACGGCACCTTCATCTTCTTCGGCACGTGCACCGTCGTCGCCTTCTGCTTCGCCTACGTCTTCGTGCCCGAGACCAAGAACGTGGCGCTCGAGGACATGGACCTCATGTTTGGAAAGGAGGCGCCCCTGTTTGCGCCGTCCGCGCGCAAGAGGTACCTCGAGATCCGGGCGGCGGGGCTGAACACGGCTCTCATTCACGAGGCGGAGCGCAAGGCCGAGGATGCGGACGTGGAGAGGGCGGAGCATGGCGGCCAGTCGTAATGGAAGCGGTTCGGTTAAGGATAGTCGGGACTGTTAGAGATGTGATATTAAGCCAGAACCTGGTGAAGGAAGTACTGGAAGGTTTTGCGCTAGCTAAAGTGCAATACATATAATACATATCATGAAGTACGAACAAAGAATCGTTCCCTGTTCCGCGTGCTATTCCGTTGCAGAATCGCTCTCACTGGGCAACTCGTCCCAATCCTCATAGTCCCATGGACTGCCGTCGAGATAACCCAATCGAATGAGCACAGCCGTCATCACATTGGGCCGTTCGAAACAGGTATCAAACTCGTCGCGCTGGACGTCGAAGCCGACACGGATAAAATCTGGGCAGCTCTCGCCCTCATTACCAAACGGATTTGGTCCATCTCCATAAAGAAACGCACCAACCTCTTCGCGAACCCAAGCGGCTCTTCCCAATTTTATTATCCAGTCTTCCATTCTTATCGATACTATGGGGCGTTCGTGGACGGGTCGATTGCCCCAGGGCAGTGCACTGCGCATCTCGCTCAGAAGCGCCCGGTGATCGCCCTGGCCGCGAGCAAAAGAGAGGAAACTTAGCTCCACGGATCGTAAGGTGTCAGGTAGTGCAGCGAAGATCGAGACAAGGTCGTGTTGGTTGATGTAAAATCCGGACAGCCCAAAGTGCTTCAAACACGACCATTTCTCCACAGGCAAAATGTTCCGCAAAGACACAGAGCGAAATCGGATCGACGGGCCGCGGGCTCGCTCGTCATGCCAACCATTCCCTTTCATAAAGTCGGTCCTAAGTCTGAAATTCTCTATTTCAACGGCGTTGCAAAGAGACTGCCATAGTAGACCGGGCTCGAAATTGACGAACTTGGGTCAGTCACGCTCTCCAATTTTCCTGCTGACGCAGAAGGCGAGATCCAGGTGGCGGAGACCCGGGATACGGAGTGCAGCGGAGAAGCTTTGAAAAGGTTTCGGACTCTCTATCAAATATGCGGTCTGGCAAGCCTGTATCGAGCGAATGGGTGTCGACGACAAATTCTGAGATTCGATGTTCCAACCTCGTTGCCGCGAGAGCTTGCAGCACCGTCCCTAAGCCGCGCCACTGGCCTTTTGATATTTGGTCATCGAGAAAGGGAAAGTCATCCAACCTGCCACCAGAGCGTGGCCAACCCCGAGGCAGGAAATAATTGAAACCATGCGGGAAAGCTGGGATCAATGGCGTTGGGTATGCTGGCATGTATAGCTAGCCATGGGCTGCCGGTGTTATCGTGATCCGGCTCAAATTTGGAATCGGTGTGCCATGTGCAGATCTGTGAATACATCGTTTCTTCGACTGGAAGGCTATATATTGGCAATTTAGCTCAAACCTTTCAGAGCTGCGTGGTGTAAGTGGTTACATACCTGGGTTCTCATTATTCAAAACCCAGGAGTAGCTGGTTCGATTCCGGCCGCATCTAAAAGTGTTTAGGTCCTCTCCTAGTATTTTTTGTTGTTTTTTTGGAGCGTCTTGGTGCTATTAAGCTCGACCTTGGTGCCCTTATTGAGAGGGATAACTGAGCGAAGTGATGAAGGTTGTCTCTTCAATCAGAACAAGCTCATCCACTCTCTATTAGATACCTACCTCTTCAGAATATGAATCCAATGAGGACTTGTCTGGGCAAGAAGGAAGTGGCCTTTATCAACAGAAGTGCAACTACCAACCTGAGGCAAGCAAAAGAAGGTAAGGCAGTGCGGGTAGGGACGCCAATGATCCGAGCTTTCCCGCATGGTTTCAATTATTTCCTGCCTCGGGGTTGGCGCTGGACGCTTGGAATGCGATCTGATAGATTTTCAGGCTTGCTCATGGTTCAAGGAGAGATGGGGAATATGGCGGCGTGGGATTGGGAAGGAGGTATGGCACGGTACAATGCAGAGATGAAAGACACTACCAAGTCCAAGCCGGAGGTTTCCTCCCATCCATCCTATTTACCGTGTTCTCTCATTTTTTTCTTGTTTCAGCTATGGAGATTACATGATGTATGTAGCACTACGGGACAATCAATTGCATAACGTTGAGTCAGTGGTTGCAAAAGACTCGATCTATATGTTGTGGACAGGAGGACACCAGGTGAGGCTGGTCTGGTGTCAGGGACTGTCAGAGATGAGTAGACCTGCTATACATTTTTGACACTTCTGGCAAAGCGAAACCACCAGGGGATGAGAAAAAAGTGTGGCTCGAGCCGTCGAAGTCTTGTTGATCACCCCTTGACGAACGCATCGCATCAAAGACCGACCAACCACCACTCTACAATATTACAGTGAGATATCGAGCGATATGGAGTCTGTACACGGAATCGGCGACAAGGCTGCGATCGGTGAACAGTTCACCGCATCTGCCGCCGGAGGGCCCTACGCTGAGGCGGCATATCATATCTTGCGTGGCGATACCAACAACCACCCCTGTGTAGTGTAAACGGTATCTTGGTATCTCTTTCGACGTTGCAACTGTAGTTACATGATTTTCATTATTTTCAACTAATGAGACTGATGGAGGCAGGGTTCAGCAGGGATCTTGATTACTGAAGAGGACAAGTCATACATGTGACTGCAGTCACGGCGTCGAAAGGGATAGGCATTATACAACCACAGGGACAACTCTCTCCTCACCTCGCGGCACCAGATGACGTGAATTATAACCTCGTTCTCTGGAATCATGAGCACCAAGTGTCATCCCATGTTCGAAGCCTGGATTTACCTAGGTAGTGTATGGAATGCCACAATCACCAGTTCGATCCAAAGCCAGACGCAGCTCTTTTTCACCCCACTCGTCAATGCTCGGAATTGTATCACTTTCCTCCAGAGGAGATTCGTCAACATCATCTCTGAGGGTCGGGACCCGACGGTCAGTTTCGAGGTGGAGGACGGTAAAGTTTTGATGACTCGCAACTGTTGCTGCGGGCTTATACCAGTAAGCCTATTCGCCGCCTCCCGCCGGTGCCGGATGTTGCCAGGGCCGCCAGACCTGGATCAGAGCATGCCCGATACCAAAGGATCAATACACCAACATGTAGGCTCCCATTCAGGTATCAGGCGCTTCGGGACGTAGTCACCGAGGTTATCGAGGTCATCGAACGGTGCATCTCCATGTTCTGATCGACTCGTACCCGTCAATATCGTCTCCAGAATCTTATGACAAGGCACGGACTGGGACGTGACTGAATGAGCTCTATCGGCACGACGGGAAAGAGGCACAAGGAGATTGCTTGAGCTACACATCATTTCAAGATATAATCGCTATGTTATTGATGTCCCCACACCGTGATCAATCCCTTCAAGTAACTAAGTTGGAGGCGGTACACTGGAAGGGAGATCTCGTTGGCAGCACTTGACTCAGATGCTGAATGGAGGCCATATGGGAATGCATAATGCCTTTGTATCTAGATGTCAATCGCTGGATGCTTTCCATGTGTCCGTAATTGCTGAACAGGGCCCTGCAAGGATTATTTCATGAGTGGAGGCGCCTTAGGCCCGAGAGCTCGCTACGGTGACCGCCGGAATCGCACGTCGTTTTGCTGCCAAGGGCCCCTGTTTCGATGTCGTGGTCGCTCTGGAGTAGCCTGGAGACTCTTGTTCCGGGGCGATTAGCGCGCCAATGACCCCAAGCCTGGCGGATCCCTGTCTTCGCTGCCCGTTGATCCGGACCCCAGAATGATTTTTTTTTTTCGCGCAATTCACATGCCTGCGAAGCCCTGCAGTGTCTGACCAGCTTTTACAGGGGCACTGTCGAGTCTCGACATTGATTTTTGTGGAGACCGGAGCTAGACACCACGCTACACCTCCAGCTCGTCCTCCGATTTCGTCCTGCGCCAAACTCGCCCACCCCCGATTTTGTCAGATTTGTGTCATTGTCCTCCAACTCTTCGATAGCGAAAGGGTCATACTCCATCATCCTCCAAAAGGGCTCACTCATCAAGCCTCGTTGCGTTTATTTTCTTCTCGTCATACGTCATTCCACCCAAGATGCTGTCTTCTGCCAGAATAGCAGCTCGCCCGGCCGTGCGCCGCGTCGCCGCCTTCAACATGGCTTTGCGCCCAGCTTCCACCTGGGCCAATGTCCAGCAGGGTCCTCCTGTAAGTCAATGCAGCCCTGTGATACATGGCAGAATGGTTCAATTGTAGCTAACAGACCGCAGGATGTAAGTTTTACTGTCCCATGTGCCCGTTACGACCGCAATTGCTAAAGCCGCCCTCGCCCAATATCAGGCCATTCTGGGTATGACTCCACGAGCTTCCACGAGCAATGATCCCCACCGCAGCGATAGCTAACAAGCTCCCAACAGGTGTCACTGAGGCCTTCAAGGCCGACAGCTTCCCCAAGAAGATCAACCTTGGTATGAAACACTCCCGAACCATGTGTACTGACCTCTCGCTGGCGACAAGAGCTGACCGGATGACTCTTCCCCCCCCACACCAGGTGTCGGTGCCTACCGCGACGACCAGGGCAAGCCCTACGTCCTGCCCTCCGTCCTCAAGGCCGAGAAGAGGGTCGTCGACGCCAAGATGAACCACGAGTACGCCGGCATCACCGGCGTGCCCGAGTTCACCAAGGCCGCCGCCGAGCTGGCCTACGGCAAGGGCAGCCCCGCGCTCGAGAACCTCGTCATCACGCAGTCCATCTCGGGCACAGGCGCCCTGCGCATCGGCGCCGCCTTCCTCGAGCGCTTCTACCCGGGCAACAAGACCATCTACATCCCCACGCCGTCGTGGGCCAACCACAAGGCCGTCTTCGACGACGCCGGCCTGCAGGTCCAGAACTACCGCTACTACAACAAGGACACCATCGGCCTCGACTTTGAGGGCATGGTCGCCGACATCAAGGCCGCGCCCAAGGGCAGCATCTTCCTCTTCCACGCCTGCGCCCACAACCCCACCGGCGTCGACCCCACCGAGCAGCAGTGGCGCGAGATCGAGCAGGCCGTCAAGGCCCAGGGCCACTTTGCCTTCTTCGACATGGCCTACCAGGGCTTCGCCAGCGGCGACACCAACAAGGACGCCTTTGCCGTCCGCCACTTTGTCGAGAACGGCCACCAGATCTGCCTGGCCCAGTCCTTTGCCAAGAACATGGTAAGCCATTGTCTTCGTCTTCGTCGTCGTCCTCGTCGATGTCGATGTGGCGAATTTCGAATCGGTGTGTGACTGACCGCGATCTAGGGTCTCTACGGCGAGCGCATCGGCGCCTTCTCCCTCGTCACCGAGTCGGCCGAGGAGAAGAAGCGCGTCGACAGCCAGGTCAAGATCCTCGTGCGCCCCATGTACTCGAACCCGCCCATCCACGGCGCCCGCCTCGCCTCGACCATCCTCAACGACCCGGAGCTGTACGAGGAGTGGCTCGGCGAGGTCAAGGGCATGGCCGACCGCATCATCCGCATGCGCGCCCTGCTGCGCGAGAACCTCGAGAAGCTCGGCTCCAAGCACGACTGGTCCCACATCACCTCCCAGATCGGCATGTTCGCCTACACCGGCCTGAGCCCCGAGCAGATGGACGCCCTGGCCAAGGAGCACTCCGTCTACGCCACCCGCAACGGCCGCATCTCGGTCGCCGGCATCACCAGCGAGAACGTCGGCCGCCTGGCCGAGTCCATCTTCAAGGTCAAGGGTTAAGTCGGCGGCTACCCCTTTTGTCGAGGAGGGCGGGGTGACGTTCGTGATGATGGTTGTATGTATGTGACGTAGCAAGACGGTGTGAGATATCGTGGGTGGATCTTAGCCCTTTTCTCCTTTTGTCTAATCACTGGGATGGATAGACCACATCTTGGGGGGGGGAGGCTTTGCATCTAGATAGACGACACGCACAAAAATGTACCAAGAGCATGTTCATGATATCCTAAGTTCTTGATGCGTTTGCATTATTTCTCAGCTCATTATTACTCGTGACAACCAAAACGCGCCTCTAGCAAACAAGAAGTGATCGTACAACTGCATTCGGACATACCATAAAGTCATGAAGGGTCATAGCCATAGCCACAGCACATTCCACCATCATCACGCCTTCCCAAGCCTCTCCAAATCGCCCCTCACCTCCTCCAACTGCTTCCCCATCTCCCGGTACACCCTCGCCATCTCGCGCATGGTCCGCTCCTTGCCCTCGCCGCCGCCGCCGCCGCCGCTACCGTCCCGGCGTCGCCCCTTCTCCCCCTCACCGCCGGCCGAGACGCCGTACTCCCCGAGCTGCGCCTCGAGGGTCCGCAGGCTCTCCTCCATGCGCAGGGTGCTGTCGCGCAGGTGCGCCGCGTAGCCCCGCAGCGCCGACCGCGCCGCGGGCGAGTACACGTCGCGCCGGGCCGTCCAGAGCGCCGTGTCGGCGCGGACCTCGGCCCTCTGCGCCGCGAGCGCGACGTCCTCGGCCCGGAGCTCGAGGGAGCGCGCGACGGTGCCGTGCTTGGCCTCCACGGAGCGCAGGAGCGTCGTCAGGACGCTGGTCTGCGCGGAGAGGAGGTCTGCGGCCGCGGCGGCGGTCTTGAGGCGCGAGGTGGTGAGGTCTGACTTTGCGGACGCGAGCGCCGGGCCGGACAGGGAGGCGGCGTGCGACGGGAGGGCCGGGATGGAGCGGTGGAGATAGGATGGGTTTGTGGTCGGGTTGGCGATGCGGGCTAGGGAGAGGGCGGCCGAGTGCAGGGTGGAGGAGACGAGGGGCGCGAGCTGCGGGAGGAGGTCCGGGAGGGAGGAGAAGGGCGGCGTGGAGAGCAGGAGCGCTGTCGACTCTGCGGGGAGCGTGTTGGCTTCTTCGAGGAGTTGCGGGAGGAGGATGAGCAGCTCGAGGAGCTCGGGGGAGATGTCGGCGGCGGTCGGGGTGGTTGCTGCGGCAGGTGTCGGCAGTTGGGCTCGGGGGCCGCGGCGCGGGCCGGCTGTGGGCGGCTTCGCTGCTGCTGCGTCCGGGGGTGTGGCGGAGGATAGGGCCTGGGCGAGGAGGTGCTGCTTTGCGGACTTCAAGCGGTGTGATTGGAGTTCCTATCAACGCATTGGGTGTCAACAGAGGGTATTGGATGATGGGAGCAAGTAGTGGTACCTTTTGCACGGCCTCCCTCTCCTTGCGAGAGTGATCTGCCTTTGTCGAGCCATCGTCGTTGAGCACCGCCGTGGTCAGCGTCTTGTACAGAGCCGCAAAGTCGGGGTTCTGCTGCAGGACAGCTTCGTCGATGGGAGGCAGCATCTTATGGAGTGTCCCACACCTCCTCCTTATACACAAGAGACTCCTCTCGTCGTATCCGAGGTGCAGCTGGCAGTTCAATCTTTGCAGGGTAGGTTTTCCGCGGCTTGTTGACTCCCTACGTGATAGCCGGGCAAGCGGGTATCGCCCGTGGGGCGCTCTGGATAAGGCGGGCGGTCTGTTTTTACCGTGGTTATCAACACCCCCCCCCACTGAAAAGTCTCGAGGTGCTGGAAAGTGCTTATCGGAAGCGCTAATTATTCAGTAGGCCGCGCCCTGTGAGCCTGACATTTTGAGCCCAGGATCAATATTGATTGTTGATAACGACACTGAACGGAATAACACAATCGCCGATGTCTCCATCGAAATTTCATGTTCAACATTAGAACAGCCGATCCCATCACCACCATCCAAGGAGCTCAAGCTCAAGCAGAACCCAAACTTCACACCCTCCAATTGAGCCTGTGATTACTTCAGCAACCGATATGCCAATCTCATAAAACATCCTCACCCGCACAGAGCTCCAAACAACGAGCTCACACCGCCAAAAATGGCCTCAATAACACGCACCACCACACCCTCCTCCCTCGCCGCCGCCGCCCGGCGCATCTTCACCAACCAGACGACATCCATCACGCCCAGGAGGACATTCACATCCCACCCCGCCGCGCTCTACAAGCAGCAGACCCTCTCCCCGACGGAACCCCCCATCCCCTCCCCGACAGCCCACCAGCCGCACATCCCGCCTTACCCCCTCGGCGACCGGCCCGTCTACAAGCAGTCCAACGGGGGCCTCTACGGCAGCGCGCGGATCCGCTTCGGCAACACCGTCTCGGAGCGCAACGAGATCAAGAACCGCCGCGCCTGGCGGCCCAACGTGCAGCGCAAGCGCCTCTGGTCCGCGGCCCTGGCCGCCTGGGTCCGCACGCGCGCCACGACGCGCGTCCTGCGCACCGTCGACAAGGAGGGCGGGCTCGACGAGTACCTGCTCGGCGGCAAGGCCGCGCGGCTGCGCGAGCTGGGCCCCTGGGGCTGGAAGCTGCGGTGGCGGATCATGCAGACCGAGGCCGTGCGGCAGCGGTTCGCGGCCGAGCGGGCGGCGCTGGGCTTGCCGCCCAAGGTGCAAGAGGAGCTGGGCGTGCCGGCGGAGCTCGCGGCGGAGGGCGTCACGGGGGAGAGCCTTGTCGAGGAGACGCAGCGGATGATCGACGGGGAGGAGGAGTTTGACCTGGGCGGGGAGGAAGGGTTCATGAAGGAGGAGCCGAGGAAGTGAGATGTGAGACCGGCACGCATGTACAAGATCGGAAAATGGCATGCTGTACTATCCTGTACCATCTTCAGACCATGTCACTTTGTATCAATATGTATAAACCCGAACAAAGCAGGGCTATTGCCTCGAGATAGCAAGGCAACGCAAACCCCAAGGCCATCTATCTAAATATTCCAAATATTTGAAGGATGCACTATTTTTCTGTATTCACCAAACTCCCAAACGACACAATTCTATATGACTTCAAAGTCCATGCCGTCCATTTGAATCTTTTTTATCTACCTTGACCCATCAGTCCCACCTCCAAACCCCCAACCCCCAACTGGATATCGACATTCCCATTCCCCATTCCCGTTCCCATGCCCATCTCCTTTCCTCCTCTCTAAAACCGCAGATCCCAACCAATCTCAGGCCCCAACCTCGGCAGCTCGTCCGCCACGCTCTGCACATCCTTGTCGCCCCGGCCGCTGAGGCAGATGACGATATCCTCGCCGGGCTTCATCGTCTTGGCCAGCTCCACGGCGCCGTAGACGGCGTGCGCCGTCTCGAGCGCCGGGATGATGCCCTCGAGCTGGCTGATGAGCCGGAAGCCCGCGAACGCCTGCGCGTCCGTCGCGGCGATGAACTTGGCCCGCGAGCTGTCCTTCCACTGCGCCAGCTCGGGTCCCACGCCCGGGTAGTCCAGCCCCGCCGAGACCGAGTGCGTGTCGAGGATCTGCCCGTCCGGGTTCTGCAGCACGTACGTCCGGACGCCGTGCAGCACGCCCTTGGTCCCCGCCGCCAGCGTCGCCGAGTGCCGCGACGTCTCGATGCCGTCGCCGCCGGCCTCGACGCCGAGCAGCTTGACGCTCTCGTCCCCGCTGAAGGGGTAGAACATGCCCACGGCGTTGGAGCCGCCGCCGACGCAGGCGACCACGGCGTCGGGCAGCTTGCCGCGCTTCTCGAGCATCTGCTCGCGCGTCTCGCGGCCGATGACGGACTGGAAGGTGCGCACGATGGTCGGGAAAGGGTGCGGCCCGATGGCCGAGCCGATGACGTAGTGCGTGTCGTCGAGGTTGACGACCCAGTAGCGCAGGGCCTCGTTGACGGCGTCGCGCAGCGTGCGCGAGCCGGCCTCGACGGCGATGACCTTGGCGCCGAGGAGCTTCATGCGGAAGACGTTGAGGGCCTGGCGGCGGACGTCCTCGGCGCCCATGAAGACGGTGCAGGGCATGCCAAACTTGGCGCAGAGGGTCGCGGTGGCGACGCCGTGCTGGCCGGCGCCCGTCTCGGCGATGATCTTGGTCTTGCCGAGCTTCCGCGCCAGGAGGACCTGGCCCAGGGCGTTGTTGACCTTGTGGCTGCCCGTGTGGTTCAGGTCCTCGCGCTTGAGCCAGATGTTGGCGCCGCCGGCGTGCTCCGTCAAGCGATCGGCGAGGTGCAGGTGGCCCGGGCGGCCGATGTAGTCGTAGTACGACCGGTACTCCTTCCAGAACTCAGGGTCGTCCTTGATCTTGTTGAAGCCGTCCTCGAGCTGCGACAGGCAGTCCATGAGCGACTCGGGCACGTACTGGCCGCCGAACTCGCCGAAGCGGTCGGGGATCTTGCCGTGCATCGCGGCGAGCTGGGCGACGAGGTCGCTGTCGCGGCTGCTGGCGTCGCCGGTGACGACGCCGTCCACGTGGACCTCGCCGATGGGCTCCTGGGCGGCGGCCAGGGTCTCGATGACGCCAACCTCGCGCGTCGTCTCGGGGATGCGGCCGCCGAGGTAGCTGCAATAGTCTTTGACGGCCTGGAACTTGTCGCCCTCGGCCGTGCGCAGCGTCGTGATGATCTGGCTGCCTACGACGACGCCGTCGGCGACCTGGGACACGCTCTGGAAGTGCTCCCTGGTCGACACGCCGAAGCCGACGGCCGCGGGCTTGTTGCCGCTGTATTTCTTGACACGCGAGACGAGGTCGGGGAGGTTGGCGTTGATGGTGCCGAGGGCGCCAGTGACGCCCTGGCGGGAGACGACGTAGATGAAGGAGTCGGCGAGCTGGCAGAGAAGTTTCATGCGGGCGTCGGTGGTGGCGGGAGCGATGAGGGGAACGTAGGAGAGACTGTTGCCCGACAAGGAGAACCAATTAGCATATGTTTCGTGACAATAGGATAATAGGGTCAGTGAGAACATACGCTGCGCTGCCGCAGAGTTTCCTGAAGGTGACGGCCTCCTCAGGCGGCAGGTCGACCAGGATGAAGCCGTTGACGCCGGCCTCCTTGCAGTCTTGCATGAGCTTCTCCTCTCCGTATGCGCGCATGGGGTTGTAGTAGCCCATGAGCAGGACCGGGGCCCGGAGACCTTGTTTCCGCGCATCGCGGATCATCTGGAGGGTCGTGGCGATGGTGACGCCATTCTCTAGGGCGATCTAGCAGACGAGAAGAGAAAACTTGTTAGCCTGGTCTGCACGATAGGGCAGGTTGCGAGTATCGGCATACCGTGTTGGCGGTCTGGATGGTCGGACCGTCCGCAATAGGGTCGGTGAAGGGTACACCGAGCTCGATGATGTCTGTTTCAGCAATGCTTAGCAAAGGGCCTCTCCGATCCCGGCAACGAGACCCAACCTACCGGCGCCGCCCTGCTCCATGGCCAACATGATGCCGACCGTATCCTCGGCCTTGGGGTAGCCAGCCGTGACATAGGTGACGAGAGCTGACTGTTGCGACAAATACGTGGTTAGCAATGCCATGCCTTCCCAGAATCATCCGTCGCCACCATAATGGCGGGCAGAAAGACGAAAGAGTTCACATACCCGCTTCTCGGCCTTGCACTGCTGGAACGTCTTCTTGAGAGCCTCCATGGTGAAGTCTGGGGTATCAATTGAAGACTCGAGGGGTTGCAATGGAATATCGAACAGCCAGAGAAGGCAGGCCAGGAGGAACAGAGGTTGCGAAGCAGCAGTTATATACCCGGCGTCGATTGTGCTCTTGGTCGTGAGTCAACACAATTTTTGGGGGAAACTGTTCCGACCCCACGGAATACGGAATGGAATCATCGACGTCTGCTGCGGGCGCTGCCCCTCCGCCACTCTACCGTGTGGCCGATAAAGACTCTGATAGCCCCAAATGTGGAGCCGCCCACCTCCCCAGATTGAAAGCATTTGGTGATTTATCACCAAATCGAGGTCTAATGCAATCTGTGCGGCTCAATGAGAGCGTCTGCCGGGCTGGGGGCGCTAGCACGGACCAATCCATTTGGTGATAAATCACCAAATCCGCTGCTAACACAATCCCTCTTAGCGCCGTATTTGGTGATTTATCACCAAACCCTTTCTGTCAGAAGGGGCTGGTCCACTAAGGACAACCCCAGGGCAAATTTAGTATGTGGAGCTGTCTCTGCCCAACCACACCGCCCTTTAGGGCCACTCTAAAGGGCCGGCGGCCCCCCTGGCAGCCTTCCCCTTTTCTCCCTTAGAATTAGACACCTTAATGAATAGAATTTAATTGATCTAACCTTTAGTTGATAGTTATAAGTTTGATTAATATCTGATTGAGTAGATTAGAGTAGGTCTATCTGTTTAGAGTAATTATTATAAGATTTAGACTATAGAGTTATAGATTCCTATAGCTAAATTTAGTAAGAAGTGGCTAGAACCCTTTAAAATATAATAATAATCTAATTAATCTTCTACTTAAGCTAGAGTATTACTTAATTAATCTTTTTAATTATTTAACTATAATATTATAGCTAAGAAGGATTTAGATAATAACTAGATAGTAATTCTTACTAATAAAGTAGACTAGAATATATAGTATTTATATATCTATCTTAAAGCTATAGATAATAAAATCTAAAAGTATATTAATCTAGATAGAGATTAGACTTTAGAGTCTTTTAGAGATTATCTAAGATCTCTTTTTATTCTCTTAATAATACTTTAAGAGGAATAACTAATAATAATATATCTAGAGTTTAAGATAAGAAAGGACTTTTTTAATATAAAGTTAGATAAATAAAAGATTCTAAATATAGTATATAAGAAGAAGAATAAAAAGCTAATTAAGATAAATAAGTTTATCTATTAAATAACTAAGTAGTATATAGCTCTATTTAATAAGTTATTAGAAGAATAATAATAAGTGATTATATAGATCTCTAATAGAATAGAAGTAATTAAGTAATTACTAAGAGTTAGATTAATATAGGTAAGACTAATAGTATTAAAGAAATATCTTAAGTTATTAGGCTTTAAAATAAGAGTATAAGCTTAAGCTTAATACTAATAAGTTAGATAACTATCTAGATCTACTAGTCTATTAGTATAGATTAAATAGTAGAAATAGATCTTATAATATATTAAGAATATTAATATTAGTAATATTTAAGATAATTAACCTATAGAGGACTTTCTTATTACTATTAATAGCATTAATAAAGTTAGTAGTATCTTTATCTAAACCTATATAAACACTCTTAATTAAAAAGAGTTGATTCTAGATAGCTATATACTTACTTACTAGCTTTAATAATAACTTATAATAATAGTAATAGTTAAGAGATTAGCTAAGAGATTATTTAATATAGTAATAAAGCCTATCTAAAGATTAATAGAGTAATTAATACTTTAAGATAAGACTTCTAATAATAAGAGACCTACCTACTCTTATAGAATAAAGTATAATAAGAACCAGTATTAGGCCCTCTATCTAGAGAAGAAGCCAGCCTATATACTACCCTTTATCTAGAGAAAGCTAGAAAGAATATTACAGAAGATTATAGAGATAGATTAGCTATAGAAGTAATATTAGAACTTAATTAAAGTGATTAAGAAGTTGCTAGTAAAGCTATTACTAGCTGATTAGAGATCTAATAAGGCTAGATAAATTAGAAGTGCCTATATCTAGATAATTTTAGTTAAGAAGACCTCTTAGAGAGTCTTCTTAAATATTATAATAAGCTTCTTTATTACTATAGCATACCTATTAAAGGACAACTTTATCTATAATACTAATACTATCTATTATATTATTAACTTAAAGGAGAAGCTTATTAAGAGTATATATTAATTAGTAACTAGTATTATTAATATAGGTAATACTATAATACTATATTATAGTATATATTACAAAATCAACTAATATTACTACAGAATACTGCTCTAAGAGTGGTCAGTATAATAAGATAGGCAGAAACATATAGACTATTAGATCATTCTAGAGTATAGTGATCTATTATAAGGGATTGTGATAGATCATACTGTAATCTAGGTATAGATCACTGTTAGACTTACTAAGGATCACTCTATGATCTATTATAATCTATTATCTATATATATAGATATATGCCTACCTTTAGATACCTACTCTAAATAGCTCTCTAATATTTAAAGTATCTTATTTAATAAAGTACCTTTAAGTAAAGCTATCTTAGCTATAATTAACTACTAATACTTAGTAACATCTATTACCTACTACTTATATAAACCTATATATCTCTAGTTCTAATAAAGTAGTCATATCTTTTAGAATTAAGGATTGTTATATATTAAATACTCTTATTTAGTAAGTAGACTATACTCTAAGTAATATTTACAGAAACTATATTAGGAAAAGTATCTTCTACTAATACTAGGCCTACCTTTACTATAGAATAAGCATATAATAAAATCCTTTAACTTAGGAACTAAGTCAACAGCCTCTAAGGAAGTCAAGCTATAAAAGGAGGACTGAAGTATAAGAAATCTAGGAAGTTTAGTAGAAAGAAAGAGGACCTCTAAGGATGGCTTATCTAAATAAAGACCTACCTTAAGTATTATTTAGGTGACTATAAGCTTATAGTAGATAAAGTGCTCTTTATAGCAAATTATCTAGAAGAAGAAGTACTTACTTAGTTTAAACTAATCCTATAAGACTATCTAAAGTATGACAGTAAGGATTATAATATAAAAACTATCACTATATTTAATAGAGGGTTTAAGAAGTTTATAGCCAGACTAAAAGAAGTGTTTAGAGACCCTAATAAAGAATAAGCTATAGAAAGACAGCTCTAAAACCTATAATAAACTAGATTAGTAACCTAATATTTAATAAAGTTCTAATAAGTAATAAGTTACCTAGAATAGGATGTAGAACTACTTATAGTAGCCTTCTATAATAGACTAAAGGATGCTATAAAAGATAAACTTACTAAGATAGAAAGGCCTAGAGACTTTATAAGTTATATAGCACTTACTATAAGAATTAATAACTAGCTCTAGAAAAGATATAGTAAAAAGAAAAACTAATAACTACTATAAAGAATAGTATACACCCTAAACTAGAGAAGAAAGGTCTATTAATAAAAAGAAACTATTACTTAGAGGAGTATTTAATATATTAGACTAATAGAACTTAATACTATAAAATATAATAATAATAAGATATACTATAACTATAGTAAGAAGAGATATTTTACCTATAACTACTAATAGAGAAAGTAAGAAAGAATACCTAAGCTAATATAATAAGTAAATATAGCTTAAAGAAATATATATAATAGTAAGTATTAGACTATATATTATAATAATTCCTATCTAGTATACCTATAAGATAAAGAAATCTTAGGATGGTTTCTAAAGATTACTAGGTAGCTAAGGGTTATTATAGTTAGAGAATGATATATACTTAGTGCTTAGAAGTAGAAGCCTACTCTACTAGAAATAGTATAAGTAGGCTTAGAAGATAACTTAGATAGTAGAAATAAATTCCTTCTAAGTTATAATAACTATTTAGTAACTATAGAAGATAATAGTAAGTAAATATAAGTATAGCTTAAAGCATAAGAAGAAAGAGAAGAAAACCTATTTACCCTAATCCTAAAGAGTAAAGAGGAAAAAAATAAGCAACTTATAACTATCTTATAATAACTAATATTAATAGGAAAATAGATAGTCATCATACTTCTTAGAATAACCCTCTAATAAGTAGTAATAAGGAAGAGAAAAGAAACTATATAAGAACAGAAAGACCTATAACTATACTATTAAAATAAGTAGTACTAAGAGGTCTTATAGGCTATCTATATATTTAATAAGTATTTAAGGCATCTAATAAAGAAGTTGAAGTATTAATTTATACCTTAATAATAGAAAGAGCATCTATTATATACTTATCTAGAGGAAGATTTAGAGTATTAGAAGATCTACCACTAGAATATAATATAAGGGTATGCCACTTTATAAATAAGAGGCGACTACTCTATTAACTATATCCTAGAATAACTAATAAGTAGTTATATTATAATAATATATAAGATCTACTATTTAGAAAAACTAGAATTATAATATTAACAATAAGAAGAATAAGAAGAAATCAGGAAGAAGAGAGTATACCTTTAATATAATCTAATATAGAAATAAATATAAAGGGTAAGAGAGGGTGCCTCTACTACCCTAATATCTAGCTTAGATGAATTATTAGAGAATAAGCCTATTCTAGACCCTAAAGTCTTAGAAAAAAGAATATAAAGAATCTAGCTTATAATAGAACAAGCTAAGAAGGAAGCTGACTAAAACCTATAGGTCAGCCTCAACTTAGCCTATAAGCAATAGTATAAAGCGCTAGTATAATAGATAAGACACTACAACTAAGTGCTTAAAGCTACTATACTTACCTTAGAAGAATAATTAAATATAGGACAACTAGTAAGATATATAGAGTATGTAAAATAACTCTATAAAGAAGCTATTAGTCAATCAGTACTAAAAAACAATAAGTATTATTATTAGAAAGTTAAATGAATAATAGAAAGGCAAAAGATCTATAAGTAATCTTTAACCTATTACTATTTATAGTGAAAATATAGCTTAGAGGATATAAGACT